AAATATCAATTTCGTAACAGTCTTTATCTAGATAAAGTATTGTGAACACGGAAGGTCTTTCCAGCTCCTATCTGGTGCCAACGTTATCCTATAATCAGTACAGCAACCAAACGCAACATCCGCCTCGTCAGCCAATGCTCTCAACCCTCAAATCTTGGATCATGACCGAACGCAAGCCCGACCCCCCGGCCCCGCTGCTGTCTGCGTGGCAAGTGGCCGCTGCGGCCGGCGAGCCCTTTGCCGTCGTCCGAGTGCGCAACCTGCAGGGCACGCTCCCCGTGGGGCGGGACGCCTGGGGCCGAGCCAACAAGGCGCAGCCGGCGCTCATCACGACCGAGGTGTCGTTCTCACGGCCGTTCGCCGCCGCGTCCGCGGAGGACCAGGTCAACGCCGAGACGGCGCACTACGGGAACCTGAGCAAGAACCTGCTGGGCAGCCTGGATCTCTGGGCCAGCTCCGCCAGCCCGCCGAAGGACCCAAAGGTCGCGGAGCGGGCGGCCGCGGACGGCCCGAGCTCCGGCGACGTCTTTGAGCTGCTGTGGGTCGGCTTGACGGGCCGCGTGGTCGACGGGAGCTTGCGGGCGCTGCCGCTGGATCGCGTGCCCTTCCTGGATACGGATCGGCTCAAGAGCCTGGCACTGACAATCAACTTGCCCAAGGCGTCTCTGGTAGGCTCCGGGGTCAGCTTGACCGTCACAGCCTGCTTCCAGGAGGGGGCTGAGAACAACCCCCTAAAATCATATGCGCGGAGTTTGAGATTACACGGCCTACATGTGCCGACTCTGATAGGCGTCAATGCCAACGAAAGAAAGGCGAAACAGATGGTAGTCGCCGACGTCGAGATCGACAGGTTGGACATCACCCGAGATATCCACCCCGAGCTAGAAAGAATGGTTGTCGAGGTTCGTGATACTTGTCCGTCGATATGAGGCGCATCGTTGATACTGACACCTGAGGTAGACTATGGAAGCTTCATCCTTCGAAACCTTGGAGGCATTGGGCGCGTTGATAGCGGAGAGGATCTTGTCCGACTTCAAGATCGGCGACGACCCTAAGACTGCTCGGGAGAGGGGCTGGCAGGTGAAGATCAGCCTCGGGAAACCCATTGCGGTGCCGTTTGCAGACAGCCCAGAGGTGGTGATCAGGGCAGGCGCCGATTTGCCTTGAAACTCTTCAGTCTGCGCATTGAATGAACACGACGGGCCAAAGAGCCAAAAAGCGTTGACTTGAGAAATATTTAGAGCATGGGTACGGTCTCATGGAATTACGGTAAAAATTCAGATCTATCACATTTGCCTCTATGTGGTCTACTCTAGAATATACACAGGTGGTACATAGGCGTCATGAATCACACTTTTCGGCAAAGTGGTATATCGCCCTTTGTGGTTTCGTCGATGAAGTCTGGATCAGGGTCGAACAGCATGACGTGGAAATGTTCAACAGCTTGAACAGACTTCAAAGATCTCCAGTTCTTGAACCATGTATACTGTCCAAGTAAGCCCTGTGACTGGTCCGGTATGGCCGAGTGGCTGCACTTACGTTGTCTCTCGGGAGCCTCGACCCGAAGGTCTTATTCACATATGCGTCGATCTCCTTCCTCATTGCTTCGGTAAGGTCTGTGGTGACAGGGTCTTCCTCGAGATCGAATTTGGTCCATACCACCAGGTGCACTACCCTCTTGTCGAGCCCGTAGGGCCAATCGTTCCAGAGAATCTTGATGTCCTCCTCATGCTCGAACGGACGGCCTCGGGCGACTGTGGGCGCTTGCCAGCCTAGGCGCTCGTTCAAGACGAAGTTCATGACGCTGCCATAATCTTGCTTGAGCTTCCAGTTGTAGCCCAGATACCTCCTCAGCTCGGATGGCAATCTCTGAAAGTCCCCGAGGCGATTCTCCGCTACTATGCCCTGAACCTCGGGCCAGCTGATGATGTGGTAATCCTCATCGGGGGTGCTGATAATACCCAGGTCCTTGGGGCTCAGGTTGCGGAGGAACTCGGGACACTGCTCCGTCCTCTCATCTTCCGGCACGTTCATGTGCCAATATGGCAGCTGTCCTACGCTGCCCATGTCGAGTATACCACGGAGGCAGGTCGGTAGCCTGTGTACTGAGGTGTCGTCTGATAGCGTTTTGTGGCAGATCCGAGTAACTGGCCGAATACCTCCAGAAGCATGTACGTATCCCAGAAGATGCCCCTCAACCCCACCCCGAGGACGTCACATAAGCATCAAAAAGTTTCACGAGGCCGGAAATGAGGTTGTTCGAAGAGCCACAAACTACGACGCTATCAGTCAGCGGAACGATGTGTTGTGATATGCTGGCCTCCAGAATGCAACGAGTTCAGCCGATAGTTCAAAGTGAAAAGCAGCGATCAGCCGCAATAGTCCAAGCCACACAGCCCTAACCGCGGCGTGCGCTAACGATGCAGAACCAGTTCGGCGTACCGCCGTTTTCGATGTATGTACGAACCGACGCAAGATACGCTCAAGAGCCCGACTGCCCAGAAAAGGACGTTTTGTTGCAAACCCCACGCAAACAAGCAAGTCTATTCTTGTCCGTGTAGGCCAATATTGAAGTTGCATGTTGTTTCGTATGTCACACCTGTCTCACGTACTCGCGCCTCGAGTTGCTAGCAACCGCCGGCAACTCTACCCCCACGTGCAGGACCTCAGCTTGTCTATTTGCTCGCAACCCGCTGTTCCTATTCTTGTTGCACCCAAGTTTCTGCTCTCAGCCGTTCCAGACCACAGCAGTAGAGATAAGGCACTTTCTCAGTTAAAATTATACCGTCGCAATTTGAGCCCTATCAGAATCGGGAATATATGTACTGTATCAAATGCCGCAAACGCTTTAGCTCCTAGATTGTGCGCAGCTGAATTGACAAAATAGTCTGTCATTGGGAAGGCTGCTGATAACTAACTGTCTGAGCTGAAAGTCTAGGCTGGCAACAAGTTCAGTGTGGCAAACAATCGATGTCCCTGATGAAGAAAGCCTCCACGTCCAAGCAAGTGCCCAGACGCAGGCAGGATTTTTTTTCTCCGGCCTGTTCTCGAGTCTGGCCATGCATTCTCGTATCAATCCTCAGAGTTCAGCGTGCAGCTCCTATCGAGACGTTGTATCGTACATAGTGCCTGCAGAACTATCTGCTGCGTTCGCCGGCCTCTCGAGTTCCGTCTACTGTAGTCTAGAACCTGCAGCTCGTCCATGCCCATGCTGCCGGCGGCGGCCGAAACCTTCTCGGGAGACTCGCTTATCCATTAACTTACCTGAAAGCCTTGATGAGTGTCTGCTTCAGCTTGCCCGTCCCAAAAGGGGCTCCTATTCAGCGCCAGTGGGGTTGGCAACCCAAGCTCCAGACGCCAATTCTCATTTCACTACTATGTTAGTTCCCGCTGAGGGCTTAAGTGGTCGCGAGATATCCACCGCTCCCAACCATCAACATGGAAGTGGGTTGCAGCAGACCGCTACGAGGCCCCCTCGCCCTGTTGCGTGAGATTGATTTACGTAGCCTCAACCCAGAGTTGTATCAGTCCACGACTGAGAACAGAATGACGCGAGGAAATTCCGGAAAGGGGGATAGGTCGTACAAAGTCTCGCAGTAATTATAGGTCCTTTCAGGGGGGGCCAACTCGCCGACTTTGCCCTGCAGCATAGACTCCTAACATTGTGAGCAAAAAGCCGAGGGGCAGGGGATTCCCAATCGTATTCCCGTGGTGTGGGTGGCCACCTCCGGGCACGCCTTTGCAGCGGATGCATTGGCGATCTTCTGCTCCGACTGCCACCGGCCGGGCCTCTTCTCGACGTCAAGCTCACATTGACAGGCCCTTTCTTTGCATGCAGATAGGTATGCAGTGCAGGCGTGGTTGGCGAAAGACCAGGCCGCCCCCCGGCCACGCAAAGGCTCCCCCCACTACTTATTTCGCCAGTGCAACTAAAATGCGACTGGGCCCTTGCCACCCCTGTGCGCGGGCGCCACCAGGGGAGCTAGGGGGAGCTCAAGATCTACGGTGGCATGGTAAACCACTGCTTCATCCAAGGACGGGAGATTTGGCTCGCAGCGACAGATCGAGAAGTGCTGGGCGGCCATTTGATTGCCGGGGCAATCCACCCACAATATCTGGGTCGGTACTGTATGTAGTTTAAGCAGGAAGCGGCTGTGTTCGTCGAGCGAAGGCATGCCGGGACAGAGATAAAAGGGCGCGGGCAGCTCCCTGTGTCGTCGTAGACCATTTCGCCTCTGCTTCCCTCCGCCTTTGCATCCCATCAAGCTGCAGCAGACCTTGGTGGCCCATTGATCAGGTAAGTCCAAGCAAATCCGAGCAGGATCTTCGAGCCACCAGCTCTACCTTAGCGGGCACTTCCCCATGGAGATCGATGCAGCTTGTCTGGCCTCTGGCCTCTGGCCCCTCTCTCCCCCTCGGCCTCTGTGATGGGCGGTTCCCGTCAGCTCGTTGGATGCCATCCTGAGGGCAGGGCAGCGAGGGGCGCTGGCAGATCCTAGAGGCTGAGAAGGTTGACGGGCAGCAGGCCGACTTGCATCCCCATCGCAGCTCTGGCCTCTCCATCCAATGCCCTCCTGAGTCCCGACAGGGTTGTTTGTTGCACATTACGTCAGGTCGGCTAACCGCTCCTCTCTCATCCAGGTCGAGAAAAAGTGAAGCAAGCACCTAAAGCTGTGAGCTGCCCAGGCCCGACCGCTGTCGCTCTGCTTTCGCTTTACCCCGCCGCCATCATCACTGCCCGCCGGACTCTCATATCTGTCGGCTTCCTCCCCTCCCCTTGACCTCATCGCTCATCGAGCTTCCCCCGAGGCACGATACTTTCCACCTCTCCCGTAGCAAGACCAGAAAGCCCCCTCCACATCTCCACAATGGCTTCCGCAGTCAAGAGCGCCCTCCCCTCGCACCTCAAGTCCTCCTTGGGCGTCAAGGAGGACGGTGAGCCTCGTCACCATGGCAAGACCCGATCCCACATGGTGAGTCTCAGTCCCCTCTCTCCGAGTGTGCTCTTCCTTCTTCTTTGTCTGGCCTTTTGGCCGCCCGGCAACACATAAACAATGGCCCTGTGGCGTGCGAATTGCCTCGCGCCCCCTCCCCAGCCGCCAACAGCTAGGCCCAGCACCTTGGCCGGGCCCATTGGGTTCCCTGAGGATGCATTCACTTCACTGCACCATTCACAACCACCAGCAATCCGAGCTCTAGACAGTCGATTGGCCTGGGCCGAGTCTCCTACGTCCCCCAAGTCACAACATGTTTTGAGGCTTCACTTTCCATTTCCTGATCAGAAGATTCGTTGGTGGCTGGCCTGCTTGATTGCGCACTCCCTGCTTCTGCCTCACACCGCTCGACAGGCCTCCCATACTGCCCACCATGTCGCGAAGACTTACTGACCCGAACTGCAAGGCCTTCGAGAATGCCTCCACCAATGTCGCTGCCGCCCAAATGCGCAATGCCCTGACGGAGCTGGCCGAGACGGTCAAGGACCCCGAGGAGAAGCAGCGGTTCGAGACCGAGATGGACAACTTCTTCTCGCTCTTCCGCAGATACCTGAACGACAAGTCCAAGGGCAACGCCGTGTACGTATACCAACAAGATTGCCGTGGTTGACGCGCGCTGACCGCCGCAAAACAGTGACTGGGACCGCATTGCTCCCCCTGCCCAGGGCCAGGTCGTTGACTACGAGGACCTCGCCAACTCGGAGTCCGTTGGCTTCCTCAACAAGCTCGCCGTCCTGAAGCTCAATGGTGGTCTGGGTACCTCCATGGGCTGCGTTGGTCCCAAGTCCGTCATTGAGGTCCGTGATGGCATGTCCTTCCTCGACCTCTCCGTGCGACAGGTCGAGTACCTCAACCGCACCTACAACACCAACGTCCCCTTCATCTTGATGAACTCGTTCAACACCAACGATGACACTGCTGCCATCATCAAGAAGTACGAGGGTCACAACGTCGATATCTTGACCTTCAACCAGTCGAGATACCCCAGAATCCTCAAGGACTCGCTCCTCCCTGCCCCCAAGAGCTACGACTCTCAGATCTCTGACTGGTACCCCCCGGGTCACGGTGACGTTTTCGAGTCTCTGTACAACTCCGGTATCCTCGACAAGCTCATCGAGCGCGGCATTGAGATCATTTTCCTGTCCAACGTTGACAACCTGGGCGCCGTCGTGGATCTGCGCATCCTGCAGCACATGGTTGAGACCGAGGCCGAGTACCTCATGGAGTTGACCAACAAGACCAAGGCTGATGTCAAGGGTGGTACCATCATCGACTACGAGGGCTCCGTCCGCCTGCTCGAGATCGCCCAGGTGCCCAAGGAGCACGTCAACGAGTTCAAGTCGATCAAGAAGTTCAAGTACTTCAACACCAACAACATCTGGATGAACGTCAAGGCCATCAAGCGCGTCGTGGAGAACGACGAGCTGGAGATGGAGATCATCCCCAACGGAAAGAGCATTCCTGGCGACAAGAAGGGCGAGTCTGACGTCTCCGTCCTGCAGCTCGAGACTGCTGTCGGTGCCGCCATCCGCCACTTCAAGAACGCACACGGTGTCAACGTGCCCCGCCGCCGTTTCTTGCCCGTCAAGACTTGCTCTGACCTCTTGCTCGTCAAGTCCGATCTGTACTCTCTCAAGCATGGCCAGCTCCAGATGAGCGCCAGCCGATTCGGCGACGCCCCTCTCATCAAGCTCGGTGGTGACTTCAAGAAGGTGTCGGACTTCCAGAAGCACATCCCGTCTATCCCCAAGATCGTTGAGCTTGACCACCTGACCATCACTGGCAATGTCAACCTCGGCCGCGGCGTCGTCCTCAAGGGCACTGTCATCATTGTCGCAACAGAGGGCTCCACCATTGACATTCCTCCTGGATCCGTCCTTGAGAACGTGGTTGTGCAGGGTAGCTTGCGTCTGCTTGAGCACTAGTCTTGTACTTATATCTCGTTCTCATTTCTGGCTTCCGGGCTCCCAGATGAAGTTGCTGGGTGCACCGCCTATAGAGCAGGCTTATAGCGTTACGTAAATACAGAGTCGAGGCAGCAGACTGGGCTCGGCGTGGAATGCGTGAGGATACACGTACCTAATGAGATGAATAAGAAAGAAAAAAAGAAAAAAGAAATCATCGGTACAAAATGTCTTCCCATGTGTTGGATCAAATAGTAGTCTGTTGTGTCTGTGATACTGTCGCCCCCTCTCCGTTTTTTTCTTTCGTAACATGGTATCTCGCAGACTTGCTGCGCTTCTCTTTTTTAGGTGGCAGCACCCGGGCCCTCTTTAAGCAGACAACTTACGTGGGATTCGCATCCGACAACATGAATCACTATATCGACATAGCAATTATTGAAGCAAGACACAAGAGAACAAATCGCATGGAACGTGTCGTATGTGCAGTATGGTACTGTATTTGTTCATTCTCTCATAAATCGTTATGAAGCAAGGACCTGATCCATTGCCTTCCTTCTCTCCTAATATCACCACACTTACACCAGCCCCGCCCCGTACGGCTGGCTACTTGCTCTTCTTGCGCTGCTCGGTGCACTCTGGACAGAACCAGCGGCCCTCGGGCTCCTTCTTGAGACCGACGCAGTCCCAGTGGAACCACTCGTACGGGCAGTCCTTGTTGTCACAGGCCACCATGTCGCCGTACGACACGTGCTGGCACAGACAGTACTTCTTGCCCTCCTCGTCCTCCTCCTCGGACCCGCTGGCGTCCGCGTCGCTGTCCGCCATGTCGTCGTCGCCGTCCTCGGTGTGAGGGCGGTGCTTGGGCGCCCGCTTGTGCGGGAGGTGGCTCGTCGCCGCGGACGGCGCCGGTGTGCCGCTGCCTGCGCGAGAACCCGCCCGAGAGCTAGGTGCCGACTCGGCGTCGGAAAGTTCGCTGTCGGCCGTCGATGTGGGCGAGCCCTTGGACCGCCCCGCCTGCTTGACGCGGTTCAGGCCCGATTTGGCGTTCGGGGGCTTCTTACGTCCCGCTGCACCGCCGCTCGGGGTGCTTTTCCGCACGCCGGCCGATTTTGTCAGAGCCTTGGGCCCCGTGCTTCCCGCTCTTGCCGTGGACCCCGGTGTTCCTGCCTTTGGCGTGCCGGGGCCGATGGATGAGTGGCGCGCGAGACCGCTCGATGCCGCGGGCGCATTGCTGAGACCACTGTTGACGCGCGGTCCCCTCTTAGGGACACCGCTTCCCGGGCCTGCCGAGCTCTCGCGGTCTTTTCGGTGCAGAATAATGCTTGCGGCGGGTGTGGCGGGCGCCGAGCTCGAGGTGGTCGCATGTGCCAGGCTCGTCCGGATCTGAGGTAGCCGGGCACCAGGTGTCGCGTTACTCGTTATAGCGCTCAGGGGGTGAGCTGTTGCTGCTGATGGGTACCTGGTGCTAGGGATGCTGTGGTTGGCAGCACTCGGCCGTATCACAGACGGGATCTCGTCAGGCTCCGTGAAGCCCGGCTCGCCGCGGTCGCACAGCAACTTGACCTGCGTGTCCAGGTGGCGAAGGTGCTTATCCAGCAGCATATTTAGTTTCGACGATAGAAGCATCTTCTCGGTCGCCAGCTGATCCGCCTTTGTGTAGTTCTCGCGGATCATGCCGCGCAACAATTCCTCCCTCGGGTTCGGCTGGGCGCTGGTGTTTGCGCGTATCCACCGCTGTATCTTGCCGTCACTCTCCTCGATGCTCTTGACGCAGTCGTTGTAGGCGCGGTCCTTGTCGTGTATTTCGTCTTGGAGGAAGCGGATCTCCTCGTGGAGATTCGACGTCCGGTGAATCCAGTCCTCGAGTATGAGGCCTGGGTCTTGGGCCTCCACCGAGGGGGCCATTTTGTGGACAAAGTCGATGGAGAGGTCGTCTCTAGGCATGGCTGTTAATCTGGCCCCTCCTCGCAGAGACAAGCGCAGATATGTGAAGACGAAGGGGGAGAAGAAGGGGGAATGGGCATCTAGCAGCCCCGGAGAAGTCTTTTCTGGCCCGTAGACTCTCCTGTCTGCCTGTGTCTGAGCTTCTTGCCTCCGAAGAGGAAGTTTGCGATCCCCGTTCGCGAGGCAGCCCCCCAGCAGCAGGGACGTGTCCAAATACGTAGGGATAGTACAAGACGCACGACGAGGGGAGCAAGGCAGAGCGCGAGCGGCAGGCAGGATCTGGTCTATGCAGAGAGCCGCGCAGACAGCAGACAGAGGGAACAGAGAGAACAGAGACCAGAGAATAGAGAGTGCGGTACGGGGTGGCCGTGGTCTGGCTCTGTAGGGCAGTGCAGGACAAGGTTGAGAGAGAGAGAGAGCAACGAGGATGGGGATGACTATGAGCTTTGGTCTGGCTCACCTTCTGGGGTCGCAGTCGTGGATCTGGCCGTTCAGAAGTCAGGAGTTTCCCGTTCATTCACAGTCAGTGCCCCTGCTGGATTTTACCCGAATGAGGTTACGCCTCGTTCGGCAAACACGATAATGTCAATAAGAAAAACCGCGTGGTCGGTGCCAATGGGTCTGACGTGCAGGGCGGGCTGGCGGGCTGGCGGGCGGGACGGGGTGGGGAGCAAGGAGCGAGATGCGAATTGGCGAAGGGCCAGAGTGGAGGAAAACGGATGAGCGCTTCAGCCTCCTCTCCAATTTTTTTTTTCCCAATCCCTCTCCTCTGCCTCCTGGCCGTGGCTTGGCCCCTGTCCTTCGGCCCAGCTCGCCCCTACACTAGTACCAACTTGGTCACTAAACCACATTTGGCCCAAGTTCAACTTGTGCTGTCTGGCCCGTTCTGTTTTGGCTACCGACGTGCACGTAGGATACCTACTGACGAAGGAGGGTAGGTAGCCGTGCTCAGGGCGCTACAAGCCTGACAACAGGGACAGTCGCTCACTCGTAACACCGAAAGCTTCAGTAGCCCGACAACAGACGCCCGGCTCTTGGCGATCACTCAGCCTCGCTCACACGGCGCTGAACGTCAAGGTTTATCATGACCTGGGGGCAAGGAATACACAGTACAGCACGCGCCGTGTAAATTCTCACGATCCCCACTATCGACTAAACCCAAAGGGGGCATCGGGAGATTCCTCTAGTGGAGACTATCTTCGACCGGAACCCTGCCAGCGCCGCGGGTTATGCAGCATCTTCGCCGCTTGCATCTAAACTCACAACCTCACCTTCAGAAACATCCCAGCTTACTGAGAATCTGTCTGGGGTGCATACAACGAGCCAGACATAGCCAGTCTCTGCTCACATCCACGCACGCACGCAGAGTCTGGAGCTTGCCGCCCGGTGAGCCCATCCGTCTGCCGTGCACGCCATGGCTCTCCCACTTCCCTTCCGGCTCCCGAAGCCCAACTATCTTCCCCATAATGTGGATGTGGATGAGCCCGAGGTCGTCAAGGTCTACAAGCCTCTGGATCGCCCATCGCCTTTCGAGGACGCCATCTTTGAGGACAAGGCCAAGCGTCTGGCCCAGGAGCTCGGCATCACGGCGCCCAAGGGTTACGACGTCTCCTTTCACTACAATGTCCAGATGGAGAAGCATCACTTTGGCCAGACACATCCGATGAAGCCTTGGAGGCTTGTGCTCACCAAGGGTCTGGTCACGTCGTACGGCATGCACCACGCCATGAAGAACTACACCACACGAGCCGCCACATACGACGAGCTCGTCTCATTTCACTCGCAAGACTACGTCAACTTTCTGGGATCCGTAGCCCCCCAGCCCACTCCACTCGATGTTGATAATCCCAATCCTGATCTTAGATTCAACCTGGGCGGCAGCGACTGCCCCTTGTTCGAAGGCTTGTACGACTATTGCTCCCAGTCCGGTGGCGCCTCGTTAGACGCCGCCAGGAAGTTGTGCGCGAAGCAGTCAGATATCGCCGTTGCCTGGGGCGGCGGCCTGCACCACGCGAAGAGGTCGGAAGCCTCGGGCTTCTGCTACATCAACGACATAGTCATCGCCATCCTCCAGCTCCTGCGGGTCCATAAGCGGGTGCTCTATATCGACATCGATGTTCATCATGGCGATGGCGTCGAGGAGGCCTTCTTTTCATCCGACAGAGTCATGACGGTATCATTTCACAAGTATGACCCGCACACCTTTTTCCCTGGCACCGGCGCTCTGGAGGACAACGGCCCCAAGAGCGAACACAACCCTGGCGCCCACCACGCCATCAATGTGCCCCTAAATGACGGTATTACGGATGAACAGTACCAGTGGCTGTTCGAGAGAGTCATATCGCAATGTGTGCAAAAGTTCCAGCCCGAGGCGATTGCACTGCAATGCGGCGCCGACTCTTTGGCGGGCGATCGACTAGGAAAGTTCAACTTGCTCGTCCAGGGCCATTCATCTTGCGTCGATTTTTGCAAAAAACTCGGGATCCCCATGATTTTATTCGGTGGAGGCGGCTACACTCCTCGCAATGTCGCCCGTGCTTGGGCCTATGAGACTGCTGTTGCCATTGGCCAGGAAGAGAAGATGGCATCTACTGTGTACATCCCTGACCATGCACCGTACAGGCAACGCTTCGAGTACGACGGGCACCTCCTACCCTCCATAGAACAGATCTTGGGGGAACCTCGTCAGAACCGAAATCCCCAGAAGAAGCTCCTAGAAATTGTGCAACACGTCACTGAGCAGCTCCGTTTTGTCGCTGCCGCACCCAGTGTGCAGAGCTCAGTCATCCCGCCCGACCTTGGACCAATTCGAGATGAAGTGGAACAGAGAATCAAGGAGGAAATCGAAGAACAGGACGAAAATGCAAGGAAGGCCAGGGAAGAGGCCGTCGGTGTTCCCATGGAGTTTTGATCGTCTCGGTGGCCTGGATAGCAGTGCCTAGTAGGGAAGTAGCACTTTGTTGGCGTTTATGGTTGGATGATACCATCTTGAATGACAGGGCAAATTGGCGATATGGCGTTTTGTTACCTTCTTCAAAAACCGCAGGCTGCCTTGTTTATTCTGTATACCAAGGGCATGGGAACTCTTGTTAGCTACAGACCAGCCACCAAGGGCAACACAGCTTAGAATCACAAAACTGAGGTTGGAAAAACATGCCTCCGAGGCACTCTAACCAGCATCCAGGAGATTCGATTTGATGGCCTGTACTATGGCCTCAGCGCAGGTAGTCTAACTTGACATATCGACACTTCGATTGTCCATAATTGATTATACCTTCAGGGGAGTCCGGATTCTATACAACTGAACGACATCACTGGGAGAAATAGTAATCTTTCTGGCTGTTACGTAAGTTGCATGGTTAACGCTCCTAAGTCTAAGTTGGAAACGCTTCTGCCTGTGGTTAAATTCAGGAGGTAGGCCCATCTCGTCAAATGCTGCACCATTCGTCTGGCACTAACACCAGACTATTCCTATTGGTCAAGCCCCATCCTTGGTCTTAAGTCGTACTTTAATTCGTGGTATACTTGCGGAAGTGGGACTTGCTATTTTATGTGCATTGAACTTCGTCAGTCGTGGGATTCACAGCCTGGCAAGCCTTCATTTCCAAGGACAATATCGAACCATGATACTGCCAGGTCCTAAGACTATATATTTTTGCTCTCTCTCGCTCTTTCTCTCATGCATTCAATCGCATCTAGGTTGAGGTAGGAGGCCTTTCAAGTAGATCTCAATTAGGAACTTCGCGGTCCTATCGCAAACTTGCGCAAGATTTTATCAATAGCATAACCAATTACAGTCTTACTTGTTTCTCCTGTCTCAATCAGGCGCAACTATGCTCTTCCGCAAGGTCTCATCTTCGCTGCTACCGCTGCTGCATACTGCTGTCGGCTCCCCAGCTCCGTCTCGGAGCAGCGAAGCATCGCTACGCCGCGCGGCCGCCACGATCCCCCAGGGAGCCAAATGGCAGATTGAGATCCACGACCCCCTCGATTTCTCTGGCAGCGGGCCCCTTGCACCGGCCGACGCCAAGGTATGGACGCTGGATCTGTGGAATGCCATCAAAAAGGGCGATGATGGCAAGACGACGGTCCAGAAACTGCGGGTAATACACCTTTACTCCTTACTCTAGGTTCTCTAGGAGGTGCTCATTCGGTACTTCGCAGGAACGCAACGGCAACGATATCGTCGTAATATGCTACTTCAACGGCGGCGGCGTGCAAATCTGGGACGAAGACTATGATGCTTTCGCGAATTACAAGTATGGTGGTCTTCCTGGCTGGGAGGGCGAATACTGTAAGTGTCCTGAAGGCGTCATGGTTTTGGATTGCCCAGCACCTCCCTCTCCAATGCTGTCGAACATTGTAGGAGATATATTCGGATGCACGAGTTGCCCGGAGCCTTACTAGCAGTGAATGCATGAATAGGGGAAGACCCCCGATGAATGGAGTTACTAACCTTTCCTCTTCGCTTCTAGACGTCGACGTATCAGCACCCGAAGTTGTCAGACTTATGCGCGCCCGCGTAGCCAACGGCATCGCCGGCGGCTGCGACGGCTTCGATCCAGATAACGTGGACGCGTACTCGCAGGGCCTGACATCCAAGGATGGGAAGACGAAGCTCGACGAGGCCGCGTACGTCGCCTTCCTGGCCGCGCTGGCGGAGCCTATCCACGCCGCGGGCAAGCTGCTGGGACAGAAGAATGCTGGGGACCTGACCGAGGCCCTGCTGGCGGGCGGCACCACTGACTTTGCCGTGTTAGAAGGCTGCATCGCGGACAACTTCTGCGAGGACTTCAGGAGCGCCTATGTCGAGAAGGGCCTCGCGGTGCTGCAGATCGAGTACCCAGCGAGCGTCCAGCTCCCCGAGAGCGAGGAGGACAACGAGGATGCCGTCTGCCCCACGGCGAAGGCGAGCGAGGCAGACTTCCGAACTGTGTGCGGGAGCCCAATTCAGGGGTTCAGTACAGTCATCAAGCACGATGGCGGGGTGTGTGGCTTGGACGGGTTCGTAGAGTATTGCGACGGCAGCGTGGTCATCACGCCGACGGAGAAATAGTGATTCGTGGGAGCATTGGTGTCATCCCTAGCGTCATCAGCCTCATACAAGAGAACTGCACTATGGTCACAACGGTCTCGGGTGACATGTCAAGCCGACCGTCCAGAATCAGCGAATCCCAACAGTCCATTTCACTTGGGGGTTGCGATTGTCGGCGCTGGCAGGGTGCCAAAGAGAACTACCAGCTCGAATGCGAGGCCAACAGTACCCTTTGGCAAAGGCATGTATCAAAGCAAGAGCAATATGCTCATGAATGAATGAACCCTTATTCTCGAGACCGCGCCTTAGGGAGGTGGTCGGTAAATAGTGGGCACATTTACCAAGGGGACGAGGCATCCCTTTGAGTATATATATGCACCAGTCTTGAGATGAATCTTCTTGCCTCTTTCTTAAATAAAGTAGTTGTCTCCATCGATGAGGTGGTCGCCCACGCCAAATTCCGGGTTCATGGCGGAGTTTCTATACTTTTGAGCTGTCAGCAATTGTAGTAGCTTAGTTTTGTGTTAATGGGGAGACAAAGTAAGAGTCGGGGATGATCACTGTCCTATCCCTGTTTGAAAGTGGCATGAACGCAACGTTCAGATATTCATGTCCCTGTTTTGCGTCATGCCCCTTGCGGGAGGTGGTGTCGGCAGCCAGCATGATTAGACCGACAACGATGGAGGTTAATGTTTCTACCGCAAGTTTCCATTGATATTGAACGAAGAAGGAAGTGACCACTTCGACGGCCTGGGTGTCAACGAATTAACAACGGGTTAGCCCGACTCATTGCGTCTGTCAAATACGCTGTCTAAGTGCTGGATTGTATTTTCCTAAAATTTGTTGTTCGTTTGCGTTCTGCAAAGCCTGCCCCGGACAAGTCTCGAAAATCCGACTGGCTACTCAATCACCTCATGGTCGCCGATTCACGGAGCCATGGCCTACGCAGGCCGGTCTTGATGTGCATTGCCTCTGATCCAGAAACAAGAGGAAAATATACGAATGTGACCTCATAAATGAAGTCAATGCCGCATGCTGAAGACCCGCAAAAACAAAGATCTCCAATTCGCACTTGAGGCTATCGGCATACAAAAATGACAGGTCGACTGCAGTGGCTAGAACTCGCTAAAGTATAGACGATGCGTGGCCCAGACGCAACGACTGGCCATTCCAGTAAGCGTGACCAGATCCCGATAAAGCGAGCTGTAACTCCCGACTTGGCAAATACAAATAGCTAAGAAGACATTGCACCATACACGTGTCGCCTGCGTGTCGCTAGAATTGTCTGCAGATAGTACTATGCTTGGCCAAGAGGCAGAATGCGCTGGAGCAGAGGAAACCCGATGATCTCGGCTGCATCACGGGGCGCAAAAACTTTTCAAGGGCAAGTTGATCCTCACGATGGCGAAAGGCGATAAGCGTCAGGCATTGGTCAATGGCAGGACACAAAGGGACATGCAAGCTGCAACATGACCGTCGACCTCCATGCCCCAATGACGCCTCCATCCATCAGCGGACTCCGGCCGCTGCCGCCGGTAGCCTTGCAGGCAAGCGGGGTAGCACCAACTTGGATCCCGGCCGCCCCAGTGGACGCCAGAGCTGCATGCGCAAGCGGGTCTGGCGGGCGACAGCGCGTTGGCAGCCAACGGGCCCCCGGCCGGGTGCTGCTTTGCAGCTGGAATCCACACCAGGTGCATCATGTGGCCGCGAGAGAAAGATTTTCACGTCTTCATTCGGAAGGGCCAAGAGCAGCGGTTCACACCTCTCGGGTGAGCCAGAGGCATGAGTGCCGCATTCCTATCGAGTAATGGCAACTCGCCTATCAAAAGCCTGCAACACGGCCGGCCGGCGTCGGCCAGAGGCGGGAGGCGGGAGACAGGATGAATGGATGGACAGAAAGCCCGTCGAGCTGCTGGCCCGGGGTCGAGGGAACTCGGTTCAGTCGTTAAAGTTTGCATTAGTATGCCACGAGGTCTGTTTGCTCATGATTCGTCCTTGACTACCACCAACTGGGACTGTGGTGGGAGGCAAAGAGTCCGATAGCCTAAGCCCAACTGGAATCAGTCGGCCCTTCCGTCATACGGCTCTTGTCTTGTTACAGCGTGCCTAGATTTGGACCCTGGTAGCTCGAGTTTTCTTTCTTCCATTTTTTGTTTCTGGCTTTTCGGCATCTCTTAAAGAGGGTATCTCTCGTGTCAGTCGCCAACTCTTCTGCAAGTGTGCCGCAGACAAAGAAAAGCAAGACCTACCAACCCGAGCTCAGTGCATCCAAGCTTGGAATTCGCCCATGCCATTGGCGAATCGGCCTGAACTCCGACCCACTGCCGATTCTACGGCACTTAGCTCACACCCGTTTCCCTAGCTCTTGTATCAGGACTACCTCGGGATCTTTGATATAGGACACTCAATACTGCTAGGTGGACTCTCCGGGTTTGTAAGGCACGCGTTGTGCGTCGCATTTTTGCACGGAAGAGGACATGTCTTTGCATCGAGTAGCGTCCCTGGAAACGTTCCTCAGCGTATCTGAGGATGGACACCGGGCGCGGAGAGGCTCGGACGCCTCATCCATAGGGGCGTCGGAGAGGGCTCGTAAGCTCACGTTCAACCCCTTGCCGGAATCATGGGATCCCCCGGCGCCAAAGGATGAGGCTATCGTTCAGTCGGTTGGAGCTTTTGAAGTTCCTAGATGGAAGAGATTAGGTGAGGTGTTCCCGAAAACTATGATGCGTGGCGATGGCATGAATACTAACTGGCCCCGATGCAGTTCAGCTAGTGGTGTCTGTTATATACTGTCTGTTCTCCGCCGGCATCGTCTTCGGGTATGCCGCCCTCAAGCCGGTGCTTAAGCGGGAGGGCGCCTATCAGGCCCTGTGTCATGGCGACGATACCTGTGTCGAGATTCACTTGAACTTGATGTTCACTGTTGCCGCCGTGGCGACCAACGTCGCTGCTCTGCCAATTGGTGCCATCCTGGATCACTACGGTCCCCGCGTTTGCGGCTGCTTAGGGGCTGGCTTCCTTGCCATCGGGTCAGTATTGATGTCCTTTGCCCAACGAATGCCATTCGATGGCTTTCTAGTGGGCTATCTCTTCCTCGCCTTGGGCGGTCCCTTTATCTACATTTCAAGCTTTCAGCTCTCCAACGCATTTCCTCGATCCTCGGGGCTCATCTTGGCCCTTCTTACGGGAGCTTTCGATGCTTCTAGCGCGCTATTTCTGATTTATCGCTTGATATTCGAGCATACTGAAGGCGCGTTCGGCCACGAGAAGTTCTTCCTTGCCTATCTCGTGGTGCCCATGATTATCATTATAGTCCAGTTCACAATCCTTCCAGCGCAATCGTACAAGACTGTCGGTGAAATGATCGAAGACATCGAAGGCCATGAACAGACACCCTTTGCTGCGAATGGAGACCCGACTGATGATCAGATCGACGAGGAGACGGCGCTCCTGCGCGAGGAGCAGCGGGAACAGCAGCGACAGCAGCACTCGACGGCCGTACGGGAGATCGAAGAGCTGCTGGGCTCCACCAAGGCGGACGAGCAGGTCCATCGGGAGGAGACAAAGAACGAGATCAGCGGCGTCTGGGGCGTCATGCATAACAACACGATACGTGAGCAGATCATGTCGTTCTGGTTCTGGTTCATCTGCCTCTTCACGGTCGTGCAGATGACCCGGATCAACTACTTCGTGGCCACCATCCGGCCGCAGTATACCGCGATCTTCCATTCCAAGGAGAAGGCTGCTGAGATCAACACCTTCTTCGACGTGGCCCTGCCGGTCGGCGGCATCTTCTCGATTCCCTTCATCGGCGGGGTTCTCGACCACTTCAGCACGGTCACGGTGCTCACTACGCTCGTATCCGTGGCCACCACGATTGGTGTGCTGGGCGTGCTGCCGTTCGAGTGGGCTGCGTACGGGAACGTTATCCTCTTCGTGCTGTACCGCCCCTTCTACTATACGGCCGTCAGCGACTATAGCGCCAAGGTCTTCGGCTTCCGCACCTTTGGCACCGTGTACGGGACCATCATCTGTCTCTCGGGCCTGTTCAACTTCAGTCAGAGCGGGCTGGACTACCTCTTCCACGAGACTTTCCACAACGATCCGGTCCCCGTCAATTTGATTTTGCTGGCCTTGGGCTTCATGATTGGCGTTTCTCTGGTTAGCTACGTCTGGTGGAACGTACGGACGATGCGCAACAAGGCTCTCGCCAGAGCGGCCGAATTTGGGAGGTCTTGAAAGGGGAAAGGCTGGTTGGTTTTGATTTAAATTGCATTGCGTAACTTTCATGTCATCACATATTGGGGGGTTCAACGTGTTTTCGCATAGCAAGGAGTTTGCATACTTCTTAGGTTTTGCCGTAGCCGCACCTTGCATTTCAAGGCTCGAGAATGTCAGACAATAAAATACAACACTTCAAGACCATTCAACCGGCCACGGGGCCTCAGTTCCAAGACGATACAGCCTTGCATGTGGCCAGCAATTCGTCTGTAATTCTGCCCGGTGCCAGTGACCAATCAGTACAGAACGAACATCGATCTCCGAGATATCCAGTAAGCCCGCCCTGCACTAGCTAGATCACATCACATCGCACCCCTCATACGTGTTCGATTGGCATCTACAAGCTCAGTCACGAGTCTTACACGGCGATAGTCGAGACACAGGAACTGAATTCCACCCTATCTGCAACTCTACAACAAAAGGTCTTCGTCCTTTAACCGGGAACAGGGGGGACCGAAATCAGTTATACATCAAACCCTCCCATCCCACCGGCAAAATGGAACCCCAAAAGCACATCCATCTAGTGAGAAATGACGAGCGCTAACAAAGGAAAGATGAAGTCTGTCTGATTGCGGTCAGGGTCGTTTCTACCACTTCGTGATCCCCATACGATTCGATCCTCTCATACTGCGAAAAAGCCGCCCCAGATCATCTCGACTGCCCGAGTCTCGAGTGTGGGAGACCTTGCAGTTGGACGGGCTTTGACACATGAACCAAATCGCCCAGTGTTCCCCGGTTGGTAGAAACCTCTCTTTTGCGCTGCAATTCTCGGCCAACACGACATCTTTTTCTTCGCCGACAGTCTCGCCCGCCTCCCAAATGTGCTCTCTCCCCAGCCAGCCATTTGCCAATTCAAAAATTATGGACAATAAAAATTAGATTCGCTGTGCCATCTGCTCAATAAGTAGCGGGTATGACGTTGCTCCCGTAGATGGCAGTAGTTATCCGTTAGAACGTAAGATAGAACCAAGATGCAATGCAAAACAGATCGACTACCGTTATATTGTTTATGATCGCTCCTGGAAAGTGATGATGGCTGTCTTGCCATCGGAAACACCGACCTAACAGGACAATTAGTACATGGCTAGAAGGGGGACGACAAAGGAGTGTACTCACAGTGCAGCCGTTTGAGCCATCAGTGAAAGCGCCGTTCTTGTATGCGCAAGAGCCGCTGATATCGCCACTGACAACGATGTCGAAATCCAAGGGGGCGGTGGTGGTTGGCTGGTTCTTGAAGACGGACAAGTAGGTAATACCGTCGCTGCTCTGGCCAGTACCAATGTTGAGAGGGGCCCAGTTGCCAGCGGAGTCGGGGTTGGTAGGGCTATCCCACACACAGCCGTCCTCGACGGAAACGCCTCTGGGGTTGACGTAGTACTGAAGGGTCGTGGCCTTGCCATCCCACTCGTAGTAAGCGCTGGAGGCGATGTTGGTGAGGTCGTAAGTGTTGCCAGGCTCGGTCCACAGAGGCAGAACCATGGCTTCGCTGCCGGGGTAGTCGGTACGGCAAACAGCGCAGCCAACGTTGAGCTTGTTGACGATCTTGACGCCGCCAATACCCTTCTGGCAGATGGTCTTGTACTCAGGGCGGGTAAGCTCCAGCTTGCCCTGCGCGTTGCAGTAGAGACCGCCAATAGACTGTCCGGTGGCACCCTGGGCTGAGGGCCACTGAGACTTGACGTAGCCGTCAGGGCAAGCGTACGAGCAGAAGGCACCCTTGGTGCAGCCGTCTCCGGTAACACCAGCGACAATGTAGGAGATGACGGAGTCAATGCCGAAGGAGTAGCTGGGGGTCTTTTGAATGGAAGACCACTTGGAGGTGCCGAGCCAGTCGACGCCGATGGCGCCGTACTCGGACGGGAAGTCGCTGCAGTCGATCTCGCCGCTGGGGAACTCGGCATCGACGCCAGTGGCGCCAGAAGTGGCGGCCTTACTGCTGGTGGCAGCAGGAGCAGCGGACGTGGTGGTCGAGGTAGGCTGGGGAGTAGAAGAGGTCGAGGTCTTGGAGGTCTTCTGCAGGAATTGGGCATCGAGCTTGGCCGTGCTCGAGACGGGAGGGGGGGTGTAGGTCGGGGTGGTCTCGCCGACGACAATGTAGAGGCCCTTGTCGATACCGGCCTTGGCCTCCTCGGGGGTGACGACCTGGTCTCCCAGGACGTAGGCGGTCTCGGTGGCGGGCACGATGGTGGTCACGACATCGGGGTCGCGTGCCTCGACGGGGGAGCCCTTCTTCTGGTGCAGGTGGGCGTGGTTGTGGCCGTGGGGTTGGGCTGCAGCCAGCGACGCCGCGAAGGCGAGGTTGAGGAAGGTGGTCTTCATCGTAGCTGTGCTGAGGTTGTTAGTCATCTGTCTGTACTGCATACGACTCCCGCATGCGCCGTGATGGATGTGGATGTCATGGGGCAAGGGTCCGCCGCACAACGACCGCCGGCACCTTGAATGTTTATACGCATGAATATACGCGATGGCATGGTAGAGAACCGTATATCCAGCGGGTAGAAGCACCGCACGAATTGGGCGAGAGATGTGTGTCTCGATGCAGTATACCCATTCACAGCACCAGGGGCGAGCGGGCGAGCGGGCCGGGAGACTGTTTAGTGTTGTTCAATTACCTTTCTTTATAGCGAGTATAGATAGGGATTAGAGCTGATTATTCGTTCTTGGTTCGTGATAACGAGCGACTGCGTGGTTCCCAAAAAGAATGTGGTAGAGGTCCGAGGACGCTCAGAGTTGGATCGTGGAACACAGCGAAGATGCGATGAGGATGTTGAGGATCGTGAGGAAGGGATGGGCAAGCGTCGGGTGGGCGCAGCGAGGGAGAAAAGAGGACGACGACGGGGGGGGAGGACGAGCCAGGGCCAGGCAAAGCCAGGGGGGGCAGGGGGGGACGCTGCTGGGGGACGACGCTGGGCCGGGGGTGGTGGGGGCTCTCGGCCACTGGTCGACTGGACCTAGGGTCGTATAGTGGCAGAGTGGCTAGCTCTCTGGTTTCTGGTTGTTGGCGGGTTGGCGGGTGCCGCAGTGCAGTGCAGCGGTGCGTGCGTGTGCCCTCGGCGAGTCTTGGGGGGTGCCTGGACTGCGCTACTGCAAGGGACGAGGGCGTTTGGGGCTTGGCTTGATTTCCTGTTTGGAGGCTAGCGAAATTTCCATTCGCAATTTATCAGGGAGGGCGGAGGGCGGCGGGCAAGGATAACGGGCTACTGTTCTCATGGTCAATCATCACGTCCTTGGTTGCTTGGTTCTCCATCTCGCCCGCTGCGACGCAAGCAGGGCCGTCCACTCTCCCACGGGCCAATGGCCGCCATGGGAGCCCCCTGGACAGCCCGCCGGCGCCAACTGCGCAGTTGGATCACCACCTTGTTCAGTGGACTGTGCCCTCCACCACCGACGAGCAACCGCCGGTTCCTAGCCCTTGGCCTAATAACAATAAGAGGAGCGTCGACTCACTGTGGGTAAACGCGACGGCCGGCTTGGGCAATGGTTCATGCCTGGAAATTGCGCCTGCGAGCTTGTGACGACGACGGGAATGCGCTTGGGTTGTCACTGACGACTTGGTCGCGGAGGCATGGCGGTTGACGGAGATGAATTCCAGCGGCGCCGCTATTATTATCTCTCTCTCATCGGCCGCGCCCCAGAGCAGCCTCCCCTTCGTTATACCATCACACATAAGGCCGTTTGCTTTGTGCCTGTTGTATTCTGTTGTTCTGCCGCCATCACTGGCCCTCCCGCCTGTCTATCAACCTGTCCGCTTCTTTGTTCACGTTGGCCTTGCCGGCCTTTCAGCCTTCCTGGCACTTCAAGTCGCGACTGGACACAGCCTGTTTCTTTGACACGAACCCCTGTCCCACTCCCGCGATATGTTGAACGGCTTTCTCTTCCTTGCCTTTCCCTCTTCACGTAGCTCAGTGCGCCAGAGGCTATGCGCCATTCCACCACCCCGGCTCGATCTTGTTAGTTGTTGCTCTGCTCGCCCACGGAATTTGAGACCTCAGACCCATAGATCAACAGCATAGAGTTCGAGCGGTCGGGGCGTTCCAAGACGGCCTGCTTTAGCCGCTACCTAGGTAGGGTCCATGCAGGTACGGTAACCTACCAACAACGCTTTGTGCACGTCCTTTGTGAAAACAAGAAGCAGCCCACACCCACGGCAGACGATCCATCTGAGGCCTGGGCAACGGGGCCCTTGGCATCAGATCGCCTCTGCAGAAGGGGCAGGATCCAGATCTGCACTCCTTTCGCGCCTCTGGCCCATCATGTTTAATTGCCCGTAATTTCGGGACATCTGGCCATCTGGCGCCTCTGATTGGCCCGGCTTGCCTCCCTGAATAGGTACCTGCGCAAGTCTCGAAGCAGGGTTGGCACTCTTCTCGATCAGGTCGATCTGGCGTGCCAAGCGCTAACGTTTGACAGCACGGTTCCAACCCTTGGACCGGCTGGCTACCTGTTCGGGATAGAAACGCCTCGAAAGGGCCTTCTTGTAGTATACGAGCACTATCTCGTTCCTGACCGCAGGCTATGTCTCTACGTCAGACGCATACCTGCGAGTCCTTCGGTTCGCTGCCAGCAATCGCGACACTCGTCATGCTCAGCTTCTAGCGGCCACTATGGCCCACCGTTTCTCCACACAAAGTGGGAGCTCTCGACGACGACACAGGCGGGGAGACGTCAGCCTCATTTCGCACGGCAATGCTGGCCCACCACCAGACTACCCGAAACCTTGTGCTCTAACTAGGGCATTTTTACTGCGAAATAGCTTCCCGAACCGGTGGGCATCCACGAAGTCAAATCCCATGCGGGGTATCCATCTATCTATCTAGAGAATACTGTATCAACAGTATATACCTATAGGCATCTAATCATAGCCATCATGTGCCAAGCCCCGTAGTAAAATCCTTTGGGCGGGTTTCACTGGTTGGACGCATTGGGAGGTGCGGGAGTTGGAGCAGTCATAGTCTATCTGCTCTGCTCTTTCAATCACTGCTATCGGTCCCGTACACAGTTGCCGGTGGACTCATGGAATTGCGCCAGGTGTTCCAGATGATTATCCAATCTACATGGCCACACCACACAGCCTGGCTTAGTGCGTCGTGCTTAACAGAGTTTGCGAGCAATAGCTTACTTAACGTGAAGTTCAATCCCAAGACACGGGTAGAAACAATACCAAAGCCTCCGCAGGGTTCCTGCCGCACCTTCTCCTTGTCGCCTGCAGCCAGCCAGCCCGGACCAGCGCAGCTCGCCTACCAGGTGTCCTGTTTGGCTCACGCTCTCTTGCGATGCTGGCTTGACCTATGTTCAGGCTAAAGGGTCCCTCCCTCTCTGGGAATTAATCTCAGTGGTCTACCTGAGCTGTTCACAACTCGTATGCCGCCGTTTTAAGCAGCCGTGCCGAGACGGGAGATCTGCTCATTGTCGACCAGTCAGCAACGGGCATGCTTGCCTCTTTCTGGGGTAGACTCGAACTTGTCGCTCATTGGTGATGCGGCCCGGGTGAGATTCAGGCACACCATAGCATTACCCCTGAATGTGACGTCAGCCTCTATATGCGACGAGACAGAAATAGGCCGCATCGACCAAATAAATAAACAAATAAAGAACAACATCTCCAAATGAGATATTAAGATGGTATATTTCGGCGCAAGGGTATTTCTGGTGGCTCAGGCACGTGAGCGAGCGGGCTTCTCGAAGGTCATGTGGGATTCCATCCACCATTGCGCATTTCCGAGGCTCTGGGCCATGAGCAGCCCAAGCACATGGCATTCGTGATTACCTGCATGCTTCGTATTACTCACCACTGCCTGAACGTGGGTAGCCGTCAATCTTCCACGCTTTGCTGCGAACCTCCGAGCATCTAGCGAAGCGTCGAGGACTCTGTACTTCACCTTGTGAGTGTTGAAGGGGCGTCCATGGTTTCCCTTTTTCCATGTGGAAGTCACTTCAGGGAGACACGCTGAGGTGTGACAAGAAAGCAAGATGGATTACCGTCGTAGCGAGGAGGCCAACTTTACTCTTGCTGGCCCCTTCATACTGGGGAAAACAGTCAACCACGTCACTTCTTTGCTTCTCAGCGCGCAGCTTCCACCCCAATGTCTATCTTGCTTGGTACGAAGGTCGGTGTCATGGCGGATGCAGCCTTTGTCTATTGTAAGCACCTCCGGGACAAAAGTAAGAATCCAGACTCATTACGGGCAATGCATTTGTGAATCAGCTCTGCATCGGCATTGGTCAGGCGATGGTGTTCTGCTGCAGCGGCCGCATAAGACTATTGAAGCCATGCCAACTTGGCTTAGTAACACAAGGACGACATCGGCGGCATACAATCAGCTTTTAGTCTATTAGTACGGGCGGACGGGTATGTAAGTGAGTTTCTTACTTATTCAAATACGCTGCCAGATTCATTTCATTCCATATCGCACTACAAGATGTATGAAAACTGCTACCCTATCGCCATGTTCATAGTCAACCATTTTGATCACTCCCCTATACCAGTAATCCCAGAGTGTGTCCTCCGCTAACTGACACGTGTCTCGCTTTGAGCGTTGATAACGTCATTAAAGCAGGTAGGGTCAATGGTCTATGAATACCTACGAATGGCCAACTTACAGATATTCCAGAAACCCCCCCCCCTCTCTCTCCTTCCCTTCCCCCCAAATTACTTCGTGGGGGCTCTAGGATAAATATTTGATTATGGCGATGAATTTACTAATAGATGACTTCGGATACTACATTTTTACATGTAGAAACTTTGATATTCTGGAACCCAACTCCTTAAATAGAAATAGTTCAGGTGCAACCCCCCAAGGCTTAGTTGATGGATGGGACACTCTGAACCATCATTCGATAATATTTAACCTTCCGAGCCTATTTTATACAATCAAGTTTGCGTGACTACGCTCTATAGGCGCTTTATCCTTTGTACTTAAAAGATGAGTTGTGGAGGTTTAGCTGTTGGTTTGAAAATCCCAGCTGGGTTACTGCAAGATCATCCCAGTCAACATTAAGCTGTGTTTCGAGGTCACACTGGAAAGGCAGCGATTCTTTCTATGCTTAGAAACTGCTCAGGCAACCTGTCAGCCCTCTTTGTTCCGAATTACTTTTTCCCATTTACAGTACAGCATCGCTAACGGTATACATAACCGGCAGCAACTACCATCACTCGGGTCACAAAAACGACACTCCAAAGAAAGATATTCCGGTAAAGCTTTCTAAGGTTTTTTGCTGCAGGTAATATAGCATCGCAGCAAGTACAGAAACGAGACAGGTTTCTGTCAAGCAATAATACATACCAGCGGACCTGAAGATTTTTGACGAAAGAGCAGTGCGTTAGACAGTGCTCGTATCTCTTTCCGTTCTTGATCTATCAATGAAGCGCGGAACTTGGATCACGTACGTATGAATTGTCGGCTTACCTGTATCTGACCTGGAGTCGTTGGCACGCACGGGCGACCAGAAGCTATCCTGATTAGTCGTCCTCATTCGATATCATCATGGCTTGCCTCGTGGTCAAGAAAAACTAGCGCTTGCAATGCTCACTCAAAGTAACATGGTCATCTTTGTAGACAGGGTCGTGGAACCTTTTTGCTCTAAAACCGACTAGTATCATTGCAAGGTCAAACATAAATAGGCATTACACAGATAGCAACTGCAATGCGGGCGTTGAATGCTCGATATTATCCAGTGACCTTAATAGGAGGCTCAAGTTGGCCTAACACCTTCAAAGCCACCAGGATCCTCCATATATATCTGGTCGTCACCTTTCGGATTTGCCGAAATGCAGGATAATAATAAATTCAAATTTACATGCCCCTGACTAGGAGTTTGGCATTGGCTATGTTGACAATCCGGTAGAGACAGTGGTTTCCGGTTCCTGCGATCATCCTTATCTGAGAGACAGAGCATTCCTTTCATGTCCAGAGAAAATATGGCGGTTTTCAGTTTTCGGCCACTTGCCGAGGCTGGCCAAGCTTGGACTTTCGTCGTCTATACGAGAAGCACGACCAATTTCGATGAAGCACCGCCCCTGGCTCAGCACACTGGAGGGATTCATAAGGGGTGGGTGAAGAAGGCTGGCCTTGTTCGGCAACGGCAGTGCTGTCCAGAGGTTCATGTTCCGTGGTGTCAGGATGGGGCATCGTCGAATTTCATTAGATTCCGTGTGCCTCGACGTCTCGTATTGATGCTATGGCAGGAGCAAGGTATCTTCAGCGAAGAAACCGTTGTCACGCTTTCTCTGGCCCAGCCACAAAAGTAGACCAACGAAGTACAGACTGGTGTGGTGTGGAGGCATTCGCGCGCAGAACAACAGAAGCTAGATATGACATACATCTACACACGCTACGTTTAGGAAGGCTTCGAGCACCTTGCGCTAGGAGGTGCATGCAACAACATAGTCATCTGGGCTTGGTGTCAATATGAGGGCGACGGTAACATAGCCCCCCTTCCTTTTTCTACCCTATTTTTTTTCTTTCTCTCTTCTGGCATAGTAGAGGAAAGCCGGTCTCCAAACGAGAGCGATTCAAGCGCGAGATGTTCGAAACTAAGCAATATCTGTTCATTTGTTAGGGTCTGCGCCTGCCCGTTTGGTAACTCTCTGCTGTTACTTTGGAATTCATCAAAGCTACCTAAACGCCGAATGCGACGATAGGTTGACAGTGTCCTCTGGTCTTGTCGGAATTTGCGCATGGTGACACTCGTATACGTCGAACAAACTTGGGCTACTCGTGCCATGTAGAGCAAAATGACTATGTGCCTTTGGACACCATATTTCACTGTGGTAATCGATTTCGAGGTGGTACTGTTCACGTACAGTAGTTGTATTGCAGTAGAACTAGATCTCGATGCGATTTTAATATATTTAGAGATAACAACTAGGCCCTAACTGACGTAGATACGAATGAGTGCCGGGCGTTTTGATAATAATAGACGTAGCAGACAGCGGCCGTCCAAATATAACCTTAAGCGTGATGTTAAGCTTCAGACCCACCTCGTCTTGGACTCCGTGTCGCTCTGAGCGCTTCACGTGCTACAGTCATGAATTGAGCACGAGGAGCAGAGACCGAGGTCCATTGAGGACAGTGATGGGGTGCTCTAGATAACGCAGGCGTGTAATATCTATAACACATATCCAATATTGCGGTATTTGACAGATCGTTGGCCAGCCGGTTGGTTACTTTTAGCTCCGTTGGCGGTAGCTTGGTGGCTGGGCCTGCACGTCAAGGCTGCAAGGTTGGACTCTCACCTGAAGCCGTCCAAAAATGGCCAAAGATGCGGAGCAGATAGCCTCTTTTGGCACCAGCGAGGCAGCGGAATCTCGACTAGCCGCCCTGTAGGCTGACAATGACAGGGTGGCAGTACCAAAACGTCTTTAGTGAGGTTAACGCCACGCTTGAAATGAAGACGATACGTCGCGGGGAAGATCCACCACGCGCGCAAGGTTCCTGGAAATGGTTCGATGCCTGAGCTCTGAATGATGCGACGTCTTCCCGATCTCTCTGGCACTCAATCGAATCTCCAGGCAGGCAGTGGCCACGGGCAGCATCATCGGCATCATCATCGTCATGATTGGGGGACCAACCCGAAATGGCACAGTTCTGTAAACGTCCTAACCTGCTTACCGGCGGGGCTTTAGATCCATGGGCGAGGGCTACAAGGATCCGATTAGAGCGCGGCAATACGTCAGAGTGCGAGGCTCTTGGGACCAGGGATGTCATATACTCGTCCGGTTAGACATAATTGGCCCAGATGGATTCAAGACCGGCACTTCCACTCCAGTACAGACAATACTATCCCGAATCTGTGGTCAGTCCTACGCGGCGTCATTTGCAGGACACAGCGTGAGCAGTCGGGATGGAGTTTCTCTGCAGGCGTTCGAATTTTGGTTCATGTCACCAAGCCCGTCTCGATTCACTGCCCAGGTGATCGGGAGGATGACGATGAGCACTGCGGGAGACTAGCAATACTGTAGATGCGTGCTGACAATCGCCGACCACAGAAGAACGTAAGCGTAGGGATGTAATTGGTCGTTTGCCAAACAGCCACCGGCTTCTGGTTCGCTGCTTGTCGCTAATTGTCTTTGCCTCCCCATTTTCCCAGCACCGGACCACCAGAGATTCGCAGCCCACCCGATGAAGGGTACCTTATTTCTCACACACAGCCACTTGCAGTGTATCCAGCTGTGCACCACCGCAAAAAGAGGAGGGCGCTGTCCCCGTTCTGTCATCCACGTCGATCTTCTGCCCATTTCTTCCCGCGACTCCCCTCCGATGATGACTTTTTGCTTCTAGCTGCTTTTCCGTGATGTGACTGCGGCGCATCGTACTGACAGTGATAGTCTGATGCTGAATGCGCGATACTTCGGGGCAGCACCGACCCCGCGTTGAAATTCGTCCACTCGTCTACTGTGTATGTTGCCGTCTGTGCATTTACATCATCCCACCCAAGGCTCACAGTTCTACAGTGTACCTACGTAGGGTCACTGCTCCCATAGCCCGCCGCCAGTACTCCGTAAAACGTACCTATCGCAGCGGGACCGCAGCAGTGAGGCTGGCAAAGCTGGGTCCCTGCACAGCCGAAGAGCATCTCGATTTATCCGCGTTCACGTCCAGAGGGCAGAGCAAGAACCGGCCGTTGTTACCTCCCCTACCAGGCACTCCCGGGATTCGTGAAGCAAGTCCAGGTCGAACTGTGAACGAGGTAACGAGGCTTGACTGTGTCATCAGTGGGCCAAGCATCGACGACCCCGGACGCCAGGTTCCGGGTACTTGGCCAAGGAAGGCGGCCAGGACGAAAGATAGCCCCATAGCACGCGGAATTGTGCGCCGACGCCAGGTACCGGCTACACTGGACGGACTTGTGGCTCCCGGAAGCTTGGGTATTACGAGCACTAGACAAACCAAAGTCACCGTTCCCAGAGGGTGCTAGCAACTGGCAGCACCGCCAAAAGGAACTCCGACCCACCTGCAGCCACCTAGCCAGCCAGGGCCCAGTACGGATCCTTACACCCTCCCCCCCAGAACTACCTAGTTAGGTACGTAGTTGCCAGAGGTCCAGCCAAGCCAAGCGCGCACCCCGTCTCTTGCCTCTGCCTCTCTCTCACACACACCCCCCCGGCCGGCAGCACCAGCAAATCGAGCTTGGCCTTGCCGCCTCGCACCCTCCGCCTCTGCCACACTTGAACAGACGCTTCCTCTGCTCAACCACATCCCAGGTCCCTCCTTCCCATCACTTGCGGCTCATTCCCCGTTGCATATCACCAGCACCGGCCGCCCATCAACGCCGCCAACCCTCAATTTACTTTGCACGCACTCGATTCAAACCGCCACAGCGCACTCCCACAGTTCGCCACATTATTTGTGTCCGCTATTTCGCAGCAGACACGATCCCCCCCCTGCACAAAAACCTGTTTGCCCACGCGCGACAAGCCATCAACACCATCACAACAGCCACGAGCTTCAGCCACACGCATCCCAAGATAGCCTCGCCGCCGACTGGGAGCTTGATCATGCGTCGTTGAGGCGCCCGGGCTTTGTGAAGGTGTCCCCGAAGCCAATTCAAGCGCTTTTCTTGTAGGAATCTCAATCGCGTCTCTGATTCCGTTTTTTTGGCCTCGAGACTCATGGCGTCGGAACAAGGTCCCGTCGCGACAGAAGCCCCGCCGCCATCCTCCATCGTGGAGCCGCCCGTCTCAGTCGAAGCTCTGCAGGCCGACGCGACTCGCGCGGCCGCCTCGCTGAAGAGAGCGCGGGAGACCACGCCGACGTCCCCCAACTCGGCGGCCGTTGCCGCCCACCTCACTGCGGACCTCTCGCCCTCCAAGATCGCCAGACTCGCTGGCCTGGCATCAGCGCGCTCCCCAGCTCCCCTGACTGGCGCTGCGGCCCTCGAGGACGAGCGGGACGAGCGCCGGCGGCAAGAGGAGCAGTACAAGCTGCAAGTGTCTGGTGCGAGCGAGAATCCTGCGTACAAGGTGCAGGCTGACCTAATGTCAGCTGGGGCACTCGGAATGAGCCGGCCACAGGACGCGCCGCTGGGCCTGGAGAGCCTGCAGGCCGACTCCATGCCCGCCCCGTCCACGGCCGAGGAGCCGGAGCCAAAGGAAGGCACGAGTCCCACAAGCGTGACCAGCATGAGCGGCGGCAGCGCGCCCATGACCACCACAAGCCCGGGTCCCATGGACATAGATCCTCAGCTGGAGCGCACCGCCTACATACCCCAGCCCCAGGCCCAGATGGAAGACAAGGGCAGCAGTACGTCGTTATCTTATCCTGGACTGGTGAGCGCCGCGACCGCGGCGACTCAGATGCCAGCTCCTCCAGCCCGTGGTTCGAGCATGCCGATGACGCCGGGCCAAGCCGGCGCACCCAAGTCGCCTAGTTCGAAGAAACACAAGTGCCCGTACTGTGAGACCGAGTTCACGCGCCATCATAACCTAAAGAGCCACCTCTTGACGCACAGCCAAGAGAAGCCGTACCCCTGCGGGACCTGTCAAATGCGATTCAGACGACTCCACGATCTCAAGCGGCACAGTAAACTCCACACCGGCGAGAAGCCGCACATATGTCCCAAGTGCGACCGGAAATTTGCACGCGGAGACGCATTGGCGCGGCATAGTAAAGGCCCAGGCGGCTGCGTTAGCCGTAGAAGCAGCATGTTCGGCGACGAGGACTTCCAAGACACAAGTCAACTCGAGGGTGACTCGACCATGTCTGGGATTGCCTACGATGGTAGCAATGATGCGGATATGACGGAGGAGGACAGGCGACGGCTCAGTCTCCCGGCTCCTGCCATCAAGGCTCAACATGTTCAAGGCAGCCAGGCCGTCCCTGAGGGTTACGCACCACACTCGAGGACATATCCGCCCGGCTCGACAGCAGGTGGTCGTTTATATCCGCCAAGTGTCGAGCATGGCTCTGTAAGCTCGAATGCCTCGGGCGTATCGGCTGCTGGCGGCAATGCTTCCATGTACTCCCAGACCGGGATGACGGAAAGCCCGAAGCCCCTGAGTCCCGGACAAACCCACGAAGGCCACGCCAACAGACAGCGTTCGCCAAGCTTGACAACGCAATTCCAGCAGCAACATTTCGGTCGACATCAGACAGACCGTCAGACCCCACCAGGTTCGTCTCATTTCTCATCCTATCCCGAAGCGCTCGTAGCTCAACTAGACTCAGTGCCCGGATTTACCACGAGTGATGGACGTTTTCCTGGCGCAGGCACTGGGTCAGAGACTGCCCCAGCAACGCAAGCAGCGTCCGGCGCAGGGGTCTCGAACCAACCGGGCATACCGCAAACGGCTTCCGTCCCTGGCCAGAACGGTGGAAGTGGTGACAGCACCAGCAACAATCTTTTTGCTACCGATCAGGGGATTTGGGCATATATCCACACGCTGGAGGAGAACGTTAAGGAGTTGGTTGGCCGTGTTCATGTCCTCGAGCAAAGCGAACAGAGCCACGAGGACAAGATCGCACAGCTTACCAGCACGGTCACTGCTCTACGCGGACAGCTGGAGACAAAGCCAGACGCGCCGTCTGCAGAGCCGCCTGTAGAGCCGCCTGCAGAAGCCTTGAGCTAGAATTCAGCTGTCATTGTCAGGGGGCTCATGGCGTTGCCTTGGCATGTGAGAGGCTTTGGGCGGTGTCTGTGTCTGCCCCGCAGGCCGCCTCAGCGTTTGATTGATTCCGTGATGCGTGACGCGGATAAAGACCTGCTGCATCTGTTTCTTCACCCATCGTTTGCGCCCTTGTTTGGTTGTCATTTACACAGGAAAGAGGCGTTTAGGGCTCAGAAGGCCGGTGTTATATTCCCCCCCAAAAGTTCGTTCCAGCATGACATGACCCGGCCTCGTGGCATGGTCTCTCGCTATCTTTTTTATTCTCTTTCCATCGTTCATTTACTGTTCTGTCGGAGGTTACAGGGAAGGATGGATGGTTCCTGTCATCGGACTACCGCGGTATGCTGGCTGAGGGACCGTGTGTGACGAGGCTTGCATTCGATGATATCACATTAAGGGATGTCGACGATATGCCTGTGTATCATAGTAATGCAGATAGACTGTCTGCCTCGGGGCAGAGAATAGGATGCTTCGCATTCGCTTTATTAATACTCAGTACCTACTCCTAGTTCCATGAGAAACCCGAGCCTGCGGGATTTGCCTTTATCCTCTTTGCCTGACGAGAACTTGAAACTTTGTCGGTCCTTAATCCCCGGATGGCGCCAATCCCAGCTGCAGCTCCTGGGCTTGGGCCTGGGCCTGGGCATTCTGGAGAGGGAGATTACGGGACGGTAACATATCACACACATGGAGACTACTGTAGTTGGCGTGCGAAGAATCAGATGGATGGTCGGCCAGTTGAGCAGTAAATTGAAATCAGACTTGAGTTCTGCGGCGGCTCCAGATGTGGCCGTATGAGCCAGCCTACTGGACGTCTTCCCCAAGTCATGAGCTAGCTCCGCGAGCCCATTCTCGAACGAGTCCGCCTGGGTACAGTGTGTGCCCAAGACTGTGCACGGATCCCGGGTCGGGAACTGCTGTGGGCGTCATTGAGAGGCCCGGAAGGATTGCACCGCACGCCTGGCTGCCAGTTGCGCATTGTGGGCCTGCCAGCCGGACCCCCCGAATTTTTCCCGTTGGTCAATTAAATCACGTGCGCGGGGCGCTGAGGGCTGCTAAACCCTTGAATTTTCCTCTGCACCGGTGGTGGTTTCGGTTACCCAGTCTGAACGAGACAAACCACATCCACTCCCAACATCTCGAATTCGCTATTCGACACGCCTCCCCATCGAACAGCGAATTTTTTGACGACAACACCCAACCGCAAACATGGCTGACGATCCCGATTACGTACGTGCACACACCCGCTGGCTCCCCGACGTCGAGCAGCAAACTCTGCAAGCGCGATGAGGACGGGGACGTGGAGACGGAGCAGAGGAAGAAATACAAGAACGATGGGCTGACATGATCATGGACAGAACGCCGAGGAGGCCGCCGAGCTCAAGAAGAAGAGACAGTTCCGCAAGTTCTCTTACAGAGGCATCGACCTTGATGCGTACGTTTGACCCCGACTACAGTTTTCTTCCCGGTTTTCCTACCAGCGACGCAACTCCTGCGTGCCTCTACATACACACACACACACACACACACACACACACGGCGGTCCCGAATGAATGGACCGAGCATGGCTCGCTAACTTGTGCTGATCAACAGTCTCTTGGACCTCGACTCGGAGCAGCTGCGTGATGTCGTCCACGCCCGCGCCCGCCGCAGGATCAACCGTGGCCTGAAGCGCAAGCCCATGGGTCTCATCAAGAAGCTGCGCAAGGCCAAGCAGGAGGCCAAGCCCAACGAGAAGCCCGACCTCGTCAAGACTCACCTGCGAGACATGATCGTCGTCCCCGAGATGATTGGCAGCGTTATCGGTATCTACTCCGGCAAGGAATTCAACCAGGTCGAAATCAAGCCTGAGATGGTTGGCCACTACCTGGGCGAGTTCTCGATCTCTTAGTACGTTGCCTCACCGTCGCCTTGACCCTCACGCCACCGCTCTGGATTACTGACAACCCCAACAGCAAGCCTGTCAAGCACGGTAGACCCGGTATCGGTGCCACCCACTCGTCTCGTTTCATCCCTCTCAAATAAGAAGTTGCGGAAGCTACGGGTTATGGGGTTCCTTGCATTCATGGATTTGGCGAACGGAATGGTTCTTGCTCGGTGGCATGGCGTACAAAGAAAAAGCCGCTGCCGTATCTCAATGCGTTAGATGATACATGAATGAAAAGATCATTGGACGCTGGTGAACACACTAAACCGTTTTTCGAGATGCATCATGTGCCTAGCGACCTCGTCATCATCTACTACCATTGCCCTCGTGATCAAACATCCCATCTCACGGGTATGACACGGACTGTACCTGTTTGCCTGGCGGATCACTGAGCCTGTTGAAGGACCCTTCCCCTCAATTGCCATTGGTGTGGACCCTTTATACAAGGCACCCTTTGATGGACTGTTACTTTAACGCCATTTGTGAGAAGATGCCTGCAGCCCTACTGTACCTGTAATTGTACGCCACAATCTACATTTCATGAAGTTGACGAGCGTAGTTGTGATGGTGTTTAGGCAAGGGGGAGATAGCTGTAGCGCCCGATACCTGTTAATTACCCAGATTGGGCTCGAAGTCACGCACAAATTCAACAAGTTCCCCCCCTTTTACCCTTCCTTTCTGGCAGAAGCCAATTGCAGCATTCACGGTCAAGGTGATCCCGTAAACCTACCTACGTAAAAGTATCGTGTGACCTGCCCAATATTCTGATCCAGCGTGGCAGATCACAGTTACGATGCTGCGTCCGAGAAAGGCGCGGCCAGTCTTGCAGTGCATGAGTGCGTCACAAATAAACGAAAGAGGCTCGTTTCTGAACAAATAAAAATGTCTTTCTCACTTCAGCAGCCGTTGGCCCCAGTTCTATGTACGTACATTCGTGGTATGGGTGATGGTGGTGATGATGTTGTGATATACAAAGCGCTCACGACGACTCCTTCTCCGCCCGAGCCGCCAGCTTCTTCGATTTCCGGTCCTCCTCTGCCACGTGCTGCTGCCTGTAGTGCTCAGTCAGCTCCTCCATGTTGCGGCCCCGGTGTCCGGCGGGCACATTCCATGGCGAGCCAGCGTTGAGCAGCCTGTTTTCCAATGTCGGTTAGCGAGTATCCCATACAAAGACTGTCTCGGTGCAGACGGTTTCTCCGCGGGTGACTCGGCTGAGCAACACCACAGAAGCCGGCTGCTAGGATGTCCTACAGATCCCCGCCTCATGCCGTCCGGAAGGTATGCAGTATAGGGGGGGACGGGAATGGAAATCATTGCTCTCATCGCCAAAGACGGGGTATCACGTACTCGGGCATCTTGAGGTCGATGTGCAAGTTCTTCTCCTGGGCCAGGAACAGGTGCTTATCGTGGGCGGCCTGCTCGTACAGCTGGGTGCGCAGCGAGTTGCGCGCCTCATCCTCGGCGCGGAAGTAGTCGAAGCCCGAGAGCCACTTGCTGAGGCTCGAGGGCGAGCCGTCGGCGCCGGGCCGCGAGATGCTGTAGCCGACGATCGAGGCCGGGATCAGGCCGATGAAGACGTAGAAGGCCGTCTGCACGTGCGTGTGTTAGCTCAGTTCTGCCTCCATCGCCTTCGATTCTTCTTCTCCTTCTTCGACCTGCACAGGGGCCTCGGCCGGGCTTGGGGCTTGGGGTTTGGGGGGGTTTCCTGGACGTACTCCGAGTCCCTCCTCGACCTGGGGTGCCGCGTGGTGGCCGTGGCCCTCGGAGGCATACGAGCGGGCCAGTCTCGGGGCCGGGGCCCGGGTGTGGCGCACGGCGCAAGCCGCTCTTTGTCGGAGGGCCTGCATCGTGTGTTTGTACGTGACGGGTGGGAAGCGGTGTCGTGGGATCTGTCGGCGATGGGACCTGGGCTTCGAAGCTTGGAGGGCAGCTCTCTGGCCGGTGGAAGTGATGTCGGATTGGAATTCAGAAAGCCCGTGCCCGACGATTGGCCAATCAGGGCGCCCCTGATTGCACTGCGTTTAGTGGGGATCTCCCTAACACCACCTGCACCTGCACCTGCACACCCAACCAGCCAACCAACCAACCAACCAACCGGTGCAGTGGAGGGGGCTGCTGCGGACTACAAGGCCAGCCATTTTGACGCATAGCTCGTCGTACTGGTTGCCATTCAACTCCTCAGTATTCCAATTTCATCGGCGGTCACTTATCAGTCTCGCTCGGTTGGCCTTAACGAATCTGGTCTACTACTCCCTTTTTGTTAGTTACGGACGGTTCATCAGGGTCTATCTCCATGGCCTGTGCGTTCCCACGCGTGTGTCTACAAAGTGATCTCCGCATTCACTACCATCATATTTTGCCGTAATCTGAGACTCCTAGTTGGATGGTGCTGTCTAATTAGGCACCGAATGAGAATTGGGAATTCCTTGTTGTTCGGTTGGTCATCCTAGTATAGTCGAAAAGGACAGCGGTTGTTGTGGGCCTAAAGAGTCATAAGTCTATCAGTTTTCGTGGCCTCAACGGGGCCTTGCAACCTGTCCTTGCCACTGGAGGTACAAAACCCACAGCTGGCCTTGAATCTTACACGCCAACCACTCCTACCGGTATATCAAAGCCCAGCACCATACTCCCAAGCAGCATGCCCTCCCCTCGCCTTCGCAACCTTTTCTGCGTTGCACTTTCTCTTGTGTTCTTTTCATTCTTCATCACCTCTGCCGTGGCATCGCCACCTTCAGCGGAAGCATCTCCCTCAGCTCAAGCCGACTTGATATGCCACACCGATAACCCGGCAGAATGCTACCCAAAGGTGTTTTCAGCGACGGAGGAATTCCAGACTGTGCGTGATGACCAGGATCTTCCTCCTGGGCTGCATGTGCGTTTGAACATCTGGACGGGACAGAAGGAAGCGCGCCTGAATACGCCGATGGCGGAGGATCCTGCCCTTGAAGGCCTGCCGGTGGATAAGTCAGTCGTAGTGGTGGACCCCGAGGTCTCCAACGAAGAGCCCCAACTTCCACTCGGAGCACCGGCATACGAGCCAGTCGGCGTGGTGAAGGAGCCCCAAGTCCAGAACCCGGATTTTGCGATTGCCCTTGACTTCCTGAAGGAGCACGCCGAGACGGCGCCTTCCGATGTGAAGCACCCGTTGGACGACGCTCTGGTTGACCTGGAGGATATCTCTCACGATATGTACTATGGGAAGAAGATTATGGAAGATGCGGGCGCGGTCAAGAGCCTTTTCTGTCTGCTCACGCAGCGGGACGCCCAACAGGCCGATCGCGACCTGACCGAACGGAGGGACTTCTTGGCCTCGTCGATCTTGTCCTCCTCACTCCAAAATAACCCTCCTGCCATGCGGGAGATCGAGTCACAATGGGATCAGCTCATGTCTACTCAATGCGGGTTTCACCAGCGCCCGCTGGGCGAGGTCCTGTTTGACGGTCTGAAGCCGAGAACGCAAGCCTCGACCGCGGACGAGGCGAACAGACAGGAGGCTTCTTGGATACGCACTTCACTGCCGGTGGTGGGAAGGCTGATGAAGAGTGATCCGATCCGCGGCCACTTCATGCAGAACGACATCATGAGGAACTTCCTCCAGATCTTGCTCATCGAGTCGCCGGCATGGGAGGCCCCGCGGGTGCGAGTGAGCAGGATCGTCTCCGATACGTTCCTGGACAATGCTGTAGGCGCCAAAGAAGGCGTATGGCCTCGGGGGGTGATCAGCGATCCAGCAGTCTGCCAGGAGGAGAGCACTAGGCTGGGAGATGGCTGCTGGGAATATCATCTCCAGGAAATCACCAAGGAAACAAAAGCTGAATGGGCCCAGGAACTGCTTGACTTGCTAAACACGGCGAGGTCAGGAGCCAGACGTGCGAAAGACGAACTATAAGATAGGTTTAGATACATCGGATTCGGCGTTGGTGGCTCATTCATATACCCAAATGCATTAATCGTCAATATTTCCCTGTTCTGCACAAGTTTGTCTTTTGGATACGGCTGCTTGGGAGTGCTTGAAAATTGTGCTAGTGTGCTCTCAAGTCAAGGACTATTCGAAAAGAAAAACATCTGTCCAGACTTATACGCTCAAGTGCGGACATGCAGCAAGGTCCCATGTCAGTCATTTGGACAACGAACGACTAACACATACAGAGTCGAGGTATCGGCAGAACACGGCCTTGCCAAGACACAGGACGGAGGTCCGCAACCGTGCACTCAAGCGAGATACTCATTACGGAGCCATTGAGTGGGCTTGCTTTTGCGATACTTAATCTACTGTAGCCGCGCTCGCGTATTATATGCATAGGAAATTGGATAGACGATCCTATGTAGCTACCTGGAGCCTGCAGCGCCCATCGGCTCCAGTACGAACATAACTTACCTCGTACAGTACAGAATGGAGCGAGATATCTTCAATTCACTTGGTATCTTGGAAATGGTCGGAAGACGCCACGCCTTGAAAAGTCAAGGTTTCATGGTAGTCATTCTAGTTACCAAAAGCAGGGCCAACTTGGCCCGTCTACGAGGCCCACGGCCGCGGGTTGATTGTTACCCGGAACCTAACGTCCCACACCCTGCGGGAAGGGTTCTTTCGGCGGCCCAGTCATGCTTTGGACTGTTCTTCACCCTCAAGCATTCTCCAAACGGCACAACCGGCTCGGGAAGACTGCAGCATACTACACAGTGTTACGCAAGATGGCTCCGTACGAGCTGCCAACGTGAATCCTCGGCGAGTAGCTGCACGGCCATGCGGGAGGGGCGCAACCTGCAGCCGCGGAAGCAAAGCTTGCTATCCAATCAGATCCCCGTCGATCTTGGCATCTCGAGACGCCAGCCAATGAGCGGGCACCTCTGACTGAATACGGCGGCTATCTCATACGCTCATCTCGTAAGCCACGGGGTTTCAACCTCTCAGAACATAGGCCAGGGAGAGCTCATACCATGAAGCTTGAACCCGGGCCTGCCTGTCTGAAGCCTCGACCCACCGGTTGATCTGAGGCGTGGACCAGTCAGAACTCGAGATGCAGCATCTAAGCGACGAGCTGCTTGACGCGAGGTGTCTCCCGGCCCAGGGCTACGGCTTGCTTGGGCTGGATGTGGGGAATGGCTAGGCCGTGTGCCTGGCCCTGACTGATTGTTTGGAGTCTCTTATTGTCAGTCGAGGCCCGCAACCTCGAATCACAATGACCTCTGTCACTTGCCCTCTCTTTTTTTTGTGTTGCACCTGCACCTGTTGCTATCGAGTCTTTCCTTTGTATTCACGTGCTCTTGCATTTGTGAATAGACCTGTCTTCATTCACCGCACCAATCACTGGATCCTAATACCACGACATTGTCCAGGAGTATTGAACAATACAAAGAACCCCCACTTACCTCCCGTCATAATTCAACAACCCTATACTACATTGAACTTTCCGAAGCAACGCGTACTTTTTGTATCTACCATATCCTCTTCGCCTTGGAATCTCATAGCTGGCCTCTGAGTTTTTCGCACTACACGGGTTTTATTACAGCACGGAGCTGAGGTCGACGAGAGGGGACACCGCAAAGATGAGCGCCCTACAAACAAATACCAACAATCCCTTTAAGCAGCCTTCACCAACACCCAGGCGTGAAGAGTGGGAGGATTGGGAGGACGACGAAGTCACAATGGCTGTCAATGACGGGCCATTGATAGACTTTGACAACGACAATGGTCATCTCTCCACGAACCCCCCGACACAATACGGCAAACGGAACTCTTCTCGATACTCAGTACAAAGGCCTATGTTCCGGGCCAAATCAAAGGGTCACCAAAAGGCCAAGATCGTCAAAGCAGGAATAAAGCTTGATACGGACGTGTCGAAATACCGCCAGGCGCAGAAATCACAACAAGAGAACCCCGCGCGCTTCGCAGACGCCGCTGCTCTGAAGGCTCTTGAAGGCTCACCAAACTCCGCTTCCATAGGAAGCTTCTCGTGGTTGAAACAAAGAGCTGGCAAGGGTAGAGCAAAATCCATCAAGAGACTAGAACGAGGTCCGGAGTCGGATCTCTCTCCAGATTCACGACCGATAGTCATTGGCATCGCTGTTCCCGAAGATAACCTATCGGAACACCAAGTCAGCCCTCAAACGGCTGTCCTCGAGACGCCTATTGCTATGCAACACTACAGGCAACAACTAGCCGCCAAGAGTAACAACTCCTCGACCCTGTCGCCAGAGCAGCTACGTTCCGTCTGGTCTCCAGATACCGAAGCCAGCGAGTCGCCATACACCTCTCGTGCAGCCTCAAGTATCTACTCGCAGCCAAGTATGTATGGAGGCCAAGCTGCAGGCCACAACGCACCGCCGGTCCCTGCTTTGCCAGCAACGTACAAGTTCAAGCAGTCGCAGCCTACCGCATTCCCGGATGCCGATGACGAGGAGGAAGAAGATTCCGGAACACCCTGCACTCTGTTCGAGGAAGATGGCAGCCCACTCGCCACACGAAAATCGTACAAACCGAAATCAGCCGTGAGCCCTCAGGGGACTGGTGCCCATTCAAATGGCTGGTGGGATACTGTAACACTATCGCCGCAGACCAATCCATTCAGGCAGACGCCGCATCAGACTGGTGAGAGTAGCAACTCGGCGGCAGCAGCAGCGGTTCCACATGAGTGGTGGCAAGAAGTCGATGAGAAGAAAACACCACAGTCACGCTCAGGGCTGAGCGTGACAACTGCGGCGCCTCTTTCTCACCAGAGCACCGCGCAAAGCTCACAGTCCTTTGCCTCATCTTCGCAACCATCTCACATCCAGCGCCACGAGACGCAGTCCGAGAAGGCCCGCATTCTGCTGGAGGAGAACCATGCGCCGAGCGATGAGCCCCCGCCCTACTCACCACCCAAGGCGCCCGGTGATGTTAAATACGTTGCAATCCTGCCACCTTCTCACACGGCTATGCAACAGCCGATCCCATCTCCCGGACCCATGACTCCAGGCCTCCCAGGGACGATGACCTCACAGGGTGCAATCGGCATGGCCGACATCCCGGTAACACCGCGAAGCGTACCGGCGGCTGTCCTCCCAGACCGCCCCGTTGGTACATACGTGACACATGACCAGTTCCGAGCGGCGCCAGGAACAAACAACCGCATAGAACGCAACCGGAGGCGGCACGAGAAGGAGGAGTTCGTGGCCCGGAAGGTCGGCGGCTTCTGGAGAGGTCGTGGCTGCATGCCTGGAGAGGGCTGTTTCGGACGCACTGGACGGGAGGGCAGACAACGGCGTCGTGTTTGCCTAGGCATCATTGGCGGCATTATCGCTATCATAATCCTTATTGTGGTGCTCGCGGTAGTCTTGACACGCAAGTCTCTAATTGCATCTGGCGCAACGCCGGTGTCCGCTCCAGGTACCTCGCCAGACTCTTCCTCCGAGGGACCCCTGGACACCGTCTGGCTCAACTTGACAGACTTTCCGCCGATGCCCACCGGAGTATTGACGGTGAAAGGCCCGGACAACTCCAAGGCCGTCGACGAGTGCCTGGAGAAGAACGCGAAGACGCTGTGGAGCTGCTCCATCCCAAAGGACCAGCAGGATCCCAAGAGCCTATTCAAGGCGAACCAACCGGAGTTTATCTTTCAAATCCAGTTTGACAACAATACCCGAGCCCTTTGGAATATCACCAATGAAGGCGAGCAGCCGGATCAGGCTCAGGGCCAGGGTGATACAAGCCCCAGTTCCGCACGCCGGGCGATCTCGAGTGCCGTGGCGCGCGCCGCTGCCATCGTCCGGCGGGCCATCGTCTACGATGCCGGCTTCTCGCCAAACCCGGCCCCGCCTGAGTACAAGGAGATGTTCTTCCTGGGTAACACCACGGACGGTGTCGAGGCGGACAGCAAGGCCGGCGAGCCGACGCCCTTCTTCATCAGCCTGCTGAACTCGACCAGCACCACCGTAGGGCCGGACGTTCTGAGCCGGCGTGGCATTGGCAACGGTATTGATGCGGCGCCCACCAACGGCTCGTCGGACTGGAACGTGACCAACCTCCTACCGCCGCCCGAGATGGAGTCCAACGGGACCCCGGCGCCGGCGCGGCTGTTCCCCCTGCCGGTGCAGCAGCCCGTCCGGCTTTACGACCGCGGCCTGCCCACGGAGCACTACGGCTTCTACACCTACTTCAACAAGACCATCTACATCGCGGACCTGAACAAGGAGGACGAAAAGGACGCCGACGGCGGAGCGGCGCTGCGGGATGCCACCACGCTGGTGATCTGGAGCCAGGCGCGCTTCCTGGTCCAGATCTGGACACGCAAGGGCGATGCGCCGACGTTGCTTAACAAGGACGGCGACGGCGACGATGATGCCTCCTCCGAGGCCCACGTCATGCCGTACCCTGTCACGATCACGGAGGACTTCCACGGCGGCAACCGCAACGACAAGGGCACGTGGTATTGGAACCTGAACGGCGACCACACCGTCAACCGGGAAGAGGCGGCGCTCATCGAGGTCGACAATGGTGTCGAGGGTTCCTGGATCAACCGTAAGGACCGCAACCCGGACCTGGAGTTGGGGGGCATCGATGGGGGCACAGGCGGGTGTAAGTGTGTGTGGGTGAACTTTGCGGAGAAGCCATGATGGCCAGTAGTAGCGTACAGCATGTCACGACCTGAGGAGGTTGGCAAGGAGAAAACCGGAGCGCAGTGCATCAAGCGGCGGATTTGTATATCATTGGCATGGCGTCAAGGAAAATTTTCTTTTTTATCAACTCCCTTGCGTGGTCTAATTCGGGTTATTCAAGTATATACAAACCAACTCGTTAAAAGGGCAGCATAGCGTCTAGGATGTAATACGGAAATTATATTGTCTGCGCTCGCGAACTGAAACCAGAAACGATAAGTGAATGCCGCAGTGCAGTGGGTTACAGATTTTCTGAACGAGAGATAAGTATACGGGCGCCTGCCGTGGGCCACCACGTATGGACCCACTAGCATGTTGCCGAAGTTCACGATAGGGATGAAGCTCTAACGGCACTCGAGTTTCGGTATATCTTCCGACGGAGTCTAGAATTCGAGATCGACATCGATGGCGTTGAAAACAAGATGCTTGCCCCCTTGCTCACCTTTTCTGTGGATGTCAGTGTCGTCCACTAGCAACTAGTGCTTTTGGAGGTAGAGGCACAGCTTCGAGTACAGTAGCTGTATAGGGAGGGATCGACGATGTGACAGCACACTGGCACATTACCACCAAGAAGCCGCATCGAGATGGCCGCAAAGGTGGCTACCACGCAGGGTTGCAAGGTCCATTGTTCGATGGATGAGAACAAAGGGCCTTAATCCACGATGTGCACTAGCAACGATGGGGCCGGAAGAAGGGAGGCGGGCAAGAGCTCTTTGTCGCGCCAGACCCTACGGGCCTCCTAAATACAACGTTGCCGTTGTTTGGTCGATCGAACAGGAACGCCTCGAGGTCGTCCTCGTCAATCTCAGTAAGCAGCGAGGCATTTGAAACACTAGTTTGGCAGTCAGATGGCAGCTCAGGACGGCTCGACGAGTCAAGAGCTCTCGAAACCCACGATGCGGATGCAGGGCTGGCGACCGGCGCGAAGTGGGAAGAATCAATTCCCGCCGCCGAGAGCAGTGCCGGATTACACGAGTAGGGATTTGCCTCCGCTGCCGCCCAACTCGAGCTCCTCCTCCATCTACGATTCAGACGATGGGGCGCTGTCGCGCCGGCCAACGCCAAGCCGTTTTCTCCGCCATGACTCGCCGCCAGCGCTGCACGACTACGGTCCCCACGATGGCCGAGTCAGCGGCGGCAGCGGCAGGAGCAGCCGCGGGCTGGTCTTTTCTGGCGGCGTGATCGACGAGAAAGCCCTAGCCATGGTCCGCCCGCCGTTGGGGATGACTATAGTGACAGACATCCCCCGTTCGCGCAGCGAGCAAGAGATTCACTCTCCCCGCCCCAAATACCCCGACCACAAAGTGTTGCAATTCAGCGACGACTTGGAAGTCAGTCCCATCATGACGCCGCCATCAGGAAGATTCTCGCATCAGAGCTATATGGTGTCGCCACTGACGCCAGACGATGGTTCAATCCGGAACTTTGTGGCCAACACAGTTTCACAGCTGGAGTTCGACACCGGCACCAACTTCAACGACCCATGGCCTAGACTTTCGCCGAGCCCGGCACCTGTCTCACGGCGCCGTTCGTCTCACTGGGAAGACGTGCCCCCCGTCGCATCCCAGTTGTCGCTGGGCTTCTACCCGTTGCCCAGCAAGCCGGAATCATCCAGCCGGCGAGGATCGGAGCGACGATCGCAGTTCCGCTACAGCGACCCGGGCAGCCCGGTAGATGCCACATCAGCTGATAAGCGCACGTTCAGCTTGGAGCCGAAGTCCTTCTTGCAGGCTCCCAGGGCCAGCTCAAAGCACAGCTCGAAGCACAGCTCGAAGCACAGCTCCAGGCGGCAGAGCGCAGACTTCCTGGCTTCGCCGAGGAAACCGCCGACCCCCAGTCATAAGACTAACGACAGCGTCGACGGCCAGTACGGCCACTGGACCAAGGGATACGGCGCAAACAGGCCGGGGACCTCTCCGGCGCCCAGCATAGTGTCCAAGGTCTCGTTCGCGCTCAAGAAGACGCCCAGCTTCTCGACACGGAAGAGAGCCGACAGCAAGCCCAAGCCGAACCCGTTGAAGCTCAGCCCGCAGAGCTCGGCCAACGACCACGTCAAGACGCCGTACCCATTGCCGCCGCCCGTGAGCGCGTGGGACTACGACGAGGACGACGGGGCGTCGGCGGGGGCGGGAGCGGGGGCGGCGACCCCAGGCGAGGGAAAGGAGAAGGAGCGGTCCATGAGGTCGAGCTGGGGCAAGAGCTCGTCGTCGGCGAAGAGCAGCCCCAAGTCTCAGCAGGGGTCCTTCCTATCGACCAACAGCAAGGCCCGGGGGGTGGGCAAGCTGGTGTCTCGGGTCAAGCACGCGGGCGGCGACGTCATGTCCCGGCTGTCGTTCAACACGGACGAGAACAAGAGGGAGAAGAGAGCCGAGTCGCTCCGGGGGAAAATCCACCACCAGGTCCACGAGAGTGCGCAGCAGAACAGGGTGTAAGCCGGGGGTAAGGAGTTGTTGCTCGGAAGGGCGGTTGGTATTGCGCTGTGTTTGTGTACCTACTATTGTACAGTTATAGTTATATCCATGGATGTTGGTCGGCTGGTCCCGGCCTTGGCTCTGTCAGGTATTCAATGATAGCTGACTCAAGCGGTAGAGATATGGAAATGATCTGTCCAAATGCAGTACCGAGGCTTGTGTGAACTGGGTGGCATCGTGATGATTCGTTCCGAGGTCAACGGCACGAAACAAGCGCATGCGGTTGGACGCACCTGGGTTGTTAGGTTAACTCGGCCTGGCAAGGCGTGAGAGAAGAAGTCAGTCGGATCCACTGCTCGGCCTCTGGGCCTCTTTGAGGTCCTCTGGAAGCCCAAACCCAGCTGGAGGCCAGTAGGCAGTCAGAACCTCCCCCGGGCCGAGCTACCCGCAGCGTAGCGTACGTACCTAAGGTTACCCCGCGTGCCCACTGGGGACCTTGGCCTTCGCCTAGTCCCCACCTGCACCCATCAGCCAGGCCCCAAGCTCCCAGGCTTCCCAGGCCCCCCAGGTGCCGCCGCCGCCCTACAGCGTGGAACATACGTCAGTTGATTAATTCCCTTGGGCAGTTCACTTACACGAAAAGAAAACACCCCCCAAGCCCCTCCCCCCTCCCCCCAGGTCGGACTGCGTTTTCTCGAGGAACATGACCGCCTCGACCGACCCGGCCGAGCCCTCCTTGCCCCCTCCGACGACTGACGACGGCAACAACAGCACCGCTTCGCTCACCGCCCTCGAGGCCGCCTCGGTGCTCCAGAGCCTGCGCGACACCCAGCCCGCGCCCCATCTCGAGCAGCCCCTCGGCATCGCCCTCGATCTTGATCGCGACCTCCAGCACCTCGCCTCGTACCCGGCCTCGCACTACTGGGATGCGTCGGCCATGGCACCGCTCAATCCAACTTCGGCGGTCAGTATAGCTTGAAATTCATCCCGTCGTATATATACATATATATCATATCCTGGACTGCGTCCCTTCTTCTCTGACCCCCTGCTCCTCCCTGTGCATTCCCCCCCGGAGAGTCACGGCGGAGCACGCATAGACGGTGCAGGGCCGGGACAGGTAGGCGGGACCTACTAGAAGGAGAGAGCACTAGGCCGGCCAAGGGACACAGGGAATAGTAAGAAGAGACCAGAGGCAACAGACGGGGGCAGGAGGAAGAAGACACAGAACTGAACAAGATGCTCATGCGCTCCAAGGCCGCCATCGCCCGCTTGCGCGCCTACAGGCCCCCGCCCTTCCCGACTTGGGACCGCCTGCCCGTAAGCCGCCGCGCCGCCGTGCTCGTGTTGCTGTTTGCGGACCGACGCGGCGACCTGCGTGTCGTCATCACCATGCGAGCGGCGAGCCTGCGGAGCTTCTCTGGTAAGCCGGCCACCTCTTGTCCCTGGTGGGCTTTCTTGCAAAGTGAAGCAGAGGAAGATCCCGAGTGAGATGCCCACGAGACGGCAAAATTCAAGAAGAGGACAAAAGTCAGAAAAAAGGACTGACGCTTCGAGAATGACAGGCCATGCAGCGTTCCCAGGAGGCAAGGCGGACTCGTTGACTGAAACACCGTGTAAGTCAAAGATACCCGTTCAGGGGGGCAGGTCCCACGCCCTCTTCCTCACCTCCGGAAAGGCCCAGACGCTGAGATGGCAAGGACCACCCAGACCAGATAGCGCGGCGCGAGGCGTGGGAGGAGATCGGGCTGCCGATGGACGACGCCAAGATCCCGCGGCCCTTCCGGATCGAGCCGCTGTGCTGCCTGCCGTGCAGCCTGGCCAAGACGGAGCTGGCGGTGCGGCCGTGCGTCGCGTTCCTGCACGCCGACGACGTGCCGGGCCGGCCGGCCGCCCTGGTCGACGAGAGCATGATACCGCGCCTGGACGCCAAGGAGGTGGCCGCCGTCTTCTCGGGGCCACTGCACAACTTCCTGCGCGCCGAGGACGAGCCGACCGCGGGCGAGACGCCCCCCGACGGCGACTGGTACGACGGCCGGTGGGCCGAGTGGCACGACGAGCCGTGGCGGGTGCACAACTTCTGGGTGCCCGTCAACAACCAGCGCGTGACCAAGCCCAAGGTCAGGGACGGCGGGCAGGCGGCCCTCGCCGACGAGCTCGAGGCCGAGGAGGACACGACCCAGCGCTTCCTGGTCTGGGGTCTGACGGGGCGGATGCTGGTGGACACGGCACGCATCGCCTACGGGGAGGAGCCCGATTTCGAACACAACCCGCACTACGGCGACGAGAAGATAATAGCCCGGCTGGAGAGCCAGGGGCGGCTGCCCGAGAAGAAGAGGAGGGAGGTCGGCCTCGATGCGGTCAAGGACGAAGTCAAGGATGCCAAGATGTAGTAGATTCATCATGCAGATTTGGATATACCTATAGCCATTACGTAGACCCCCGGCACAGCGCAGCCCTAGAAGACCGTATAGCACGCATACCCATTTTTTGAGCAGCTCGCTAGCCACTCGCTGGATGCTTGCAGATTCAGAGCGCCCCGCTGCTTCGTGATGCTCATATCTCGCCCGAAACCAAGAACATGCATGATCAGTTCCGCGGATCATGTCTAGTGGCACGCAGTCTCCTTGGTAGCCTTGGTAGAGTTCCCGAACAAGACATACCCGGCGAAATTCCCAACGAACACGGCCAGCATGACCCAGCCGTTGTAAGTCATGAAAAGCAACCTTTGATTGCACAGTCAACCTTTCGTGTCCCCTTGCCCTCTTGACCAGTATCACCTTTTCCCGTCCGTGGCAAGGAAGAGAGGAGTGGCGCCGAAACAGTAAATGGAACGGGGTACTCACATCATCATGAAGGCGTAGAAGCACTGCACGGCATACAACAGGGCCTTGATAATATGGGCCCGCTTGTTCACCTCGACCTGGTTGCGTCCTGACCATAGGAACGGCGTATTCTCAGTAACGGGTCTATCATGATCGGCGGCTACGATGACTTTTGAGCGGTTCGCACGGGAATCTCTTAGCCGATACGTTCTTCACGCTTTCTCGGATTGCTTGTTTGAAAAAGACGGGTTTCTTCTTTCCACAACACAAAAGCTGGCGAACAGCATTCGAAACAGGCTCCCGTCCGCATGCCAACAACTAGCGAATCTGGTCCCACAGCTTTGGGGAGAGATTCGAGAGTGGTCTGCCTTGGCTGGGCTCATACTTCCGCGGGGGCAGGGCTAGAGAGATATATATACATGCATAGGTGCGTCGGGCAGAGGGGTTGGGGAGAGATGGAGCGGAAGTACTCACGAGGGGCCGTCTCCTGCCTCTTGTTGACCCAGGTCTCGTAGCGGCGTGTGGCCTCGCGCAGGGCCTCGTAGCCGATGCAGATGACGACGATGGCGATGAGCGAGACGACCAGCGAGGCGGTGCCGCGGACGTGCCAGCCGCGGAAGATGATGCACAGGTTCGTGGGGTCCCAGGTGAAGAGCATCTGCAGATTACCGAGGGGGACGCGGGCCCCAAAGGTCAGCATGTCGAACCGGGCCCAGGCAGATTAAGAGCTTCAGGAGACGGGGCGGCTCACGTTCATGTTGCACATGTCACCCATGCCGCCATGGCCGCCGTGCATATCGCCGTGGTCCATGGCGCTGTGATCCATGTGGGAGTGGTCCATATGGGCGTGATCCATAGCGTCGTCGGCGTCGTCGTGCGATGGATGGGACTCGGGAGTGCTGAAGGCAAGCTAGCTAAGCGTGGTGTAGATGCGAGGCGGGAGAGCAATCGTAAAGATCTGGTATATATATCAACGAACGAGGCGGGCCCCACGGTGCACGAGGTATAGGAAGAGCGACGGTACAACAACAACAATACAAAGAAATCAGCTCAATCGTGCTCGGGGGAAGGGTGTGTGTGTGGACAGATGGTTGAACGATGGGGATGTCCCGATTCGCATGGGCGAACCCTGAGCGCAACGTCAGCTCCCCTTGACCCTGGATGGCGTCTCGTCTCAAGCTAGGGAGTTCGGGGTTCTCAGACCGGGGGTGCTTCAGCATTCGGCGTGGAGCGGTCGAGCCAATGTAAATGCCAGCCCAGGGGCCAAACCGCTGCAAGGACGGCATGGCGTCGCGATAAAGCAGATAGCTCTTGGGCCCATCCAAGACTGATGACCTCAGTTTGCCCGCCCGCCGGTCAATCGGATGAGGGATGGAGGGATGGAGGGGTCGCGTGCGTCCTTCCCGCGCCTTGCCGCGACGCCCGGGGGCTCACTGCCGCCTGGGAGCTTTCCAGTATAGGAGCAACGGAAAGCATCAGGATTATTAATGAGAGAGGTAGTCATGGACTCTGGGGAACTTCGGTGGTAATTTGAGCAAAGAGGAAAATCTGAAACCAACGTCGGCGACCAAACATCTCGTGTCAACGCCCACTCAACCGACCTGTCAAAGACGTTTTATTTTAATTACTCGTTGCTGCCATCAAGAAAAGTCGAGCCAGCCGCCATCGTCAGGTCACTTATACACACACATACGCACACATCCCGCAATTCTGTCGGAAAGCAGCCCGCAAGACGCCAAATCATCACCATGCTCCCCGTCCCCGTGAACCTGCCCAAATGGTACGTATGAGGACAGCGCAGTTCGGGCTCTTACCAGTTCCCTCCGCTGACACACGTGCACCCAGGCTTGAGGAGAACTCACATCTCCTAAAGCCGCCCGTCAACAACTACTGCGTCTACAATGAGGGATTCACCACCATGGTAAGTAACACCACCCAGAGCACAGAACGCCTACTCTGCGGAGTGGTCGTCCACCAACCCCCACACACGTGCATGCACAGAGAGATATAGAGAGAGAGAGCGAGAGATGAGACGGAGAACCTGCTGGACTGACACAACCCGCGCCCCCGGGGTACAAGATCGTCGGCGGCCCCAACGCCCGCACCGACTACCACATCAACGAGACGCCCGAGTGGTTCTACCAGTACCGGGGCGCGATGCTTCTCAAGGTGGTGGACGGGGGCGAGTTCCGGGACGTGGTCATCGGCGAGGGCGACATGTTCCTGCTGCCGGGGGGCACGCCGCACAACCCGGTGCGGTTCGCCGACACGGTGGGCGTGGTGCTGGAGCAGCGCCGGCCGGCCGAGAGCGTCGACCGCATGCGCTGGTACTGCCAGAACCCGGCCTGCCGCCGCGTCGTCCACGAGGCCGCCTTCCACTGCACCGACCTCGGCACCCAGATCAAGGCCGCCATCGAGGCCTTCATGGCCAGCCCCGACAACCGCACCTGCAAGAACTGCGGCGAGCTCGCCGACTCGGTGCCCAAGCCCGGCACCATCCAGGATCCCAACTTGCAGTCGCACTAACCAGGCGCTGAGATCCCGCCTTCTGGTGTACCAGTCACACACACTGACTCATTTCACACCCCTCTGTCTATAGTCGTCCACAAACTAGACCCAATAGGCTTGTCAGTCGATGCAGCGAACATAGGCCGTTGGTTCAGAACAGAGGCTGCAAAATGCCTAATTAGTAATCAGAGAAAGCTAACCAGTGTCAATTATTCTCATGACAAAGTGCAGAGTGTTTTTATAAGTTTTTATTATATTTGACTTTGGAAAATTTGATCCATTAGATAATATCTTGCATGAGTCTGAGTGAGTGATATTCACTCAGCCGGCTTACATGCCTCCCGTATCGCGTTGTTGTGCGTAACCATATAGTACGATGCTTAGACATATTCGGCTGTTCCGGACGAGGATTCGTGCCCACCCTTTTTGTCCCCCAAAACGCCTTTCGAGATCTTGAAAAATAATACCATGGAGAAGAAAACGAAGTTGGCCAGTCGACGACGGTCCCTAGAAGAACCGGAACTCCGGACCACGCCCGGAAACCTAGCAGTGCGGTGCTGGGCTCGAACGCCAAAAGCCATCAAATCAAACGCCTATCCCGCCGTCACCCGTATAAAATACCGTTGAACCCTCAAGTCTACGGTCAACGGCCGTTCGTCTTGGCTTTATCCTTGGCGGGCGCTTTTCCCTTCGCAGCCAGAGCTTCTTCCTTCGAATAGTAGCTCGTGCCGTCGTTGCCAAAGAGCTCCGGGTCGCCCTTGCCACCCAACTCCATGAACTCGCGAGCATCTCTCTCATCCGCCGGGCGAGCCTCCTGTGGCTTCACATTGGTACTGCTCGATGCGCTTTTATTCTTGGCGTAGACCTTGAGCGCAGGCTTCTTCCCGTTCTGCTGTTGCGGGCCCAGCGGTACTTGATGAGCTATCGATACGCTGTTGATCGAGGAAAGGAGTGTCCGCTCGCGGACAATCCCACGTTTGTGGACTTGCAGACCGCCAACGCCAGCTACAAGACCGTCAGTGCTGTCGTTGACGTTCGGCATCTTCTGGGTAATCCAAGGGTGCGCCAAGCACTGGTCCACCGTGTATCGCTTCTCTGGTTCTACAACAAGCATGGAATCGATAAGGTCCAAGGCTGGGTCGCCGACGGAGTCCCAGTATGGCGACGGGTAATCGAAACGTCCGCTCTTGATCTGCTGAGACAAGGTGAAGGGGTATTCCTTCGTGTAAAGCTCGTCGGAGAATGGCGGGAACCCGCACAAGCAGATGTACAGGACCACGCCGAGAGACCAGATGTCCACGGCCTTTGTGTACTTCCTGTGCCGACCCTCCGCCAAGATCTCAGGGGCGACGTAGCTCGGTGTGCCGCAGAGCGTCGTGGTGAAGGATTCTTCGCCTATGATCTTGGCCAAACCAAAGTCTGCAAGCTTGACGTGGACCTCCTTATCGACCACCAGGATGTTCTCGGGCTTGATATCTCTGTGTACAATGTTCCTATCGTGCTAGGGGGGAAGTTTAGCGATAGAGCCATGGGTTGAAAGCGGTGAAAGCCAGGAGAAATGCACGTACCAGATACTTGATGCCCTGAAACAATTGAATAAAGAGCTTGCGCGTCTCATTCTCACTGAGTTTCTGTTTCATCACAATATGATTGAAAAGTTCACCCTCGGGGGCCAGTTCCAAGACCAGGTACACAGCATTCTTCTCGTTGAACGTATCCTTCAAACACAAGACATTGGGGTGGCTGACACCCATCAAAACAGCAATCTCCTGCTGCAGGCCATCCGTCTTGGATCTCTCCTCCATGCCGGGGTGCTTGGTGAAGATCTTGACGGCGTACTTACTGCCAGTCGACTTCTCGACGCACAGGAAAACTTCGGCAAAGTGGCCCTTGCCCAGTCGTTCCAGCAGCGTGTACTGTTGAAGAAAAGCGCTCGACGTTCGGCTCTTCGGGTATCTGAAGATGAACCGAGCCTTGTCCATGACGGCAATCTCGTCCTGATCCTGTAGCTCCCGGCGCTGGTTCCGACCCACCAGAGCCTCGTTGACAAAAGTCCCATTGCTCGAGAGGTCCTCCAAGACGGCGGAGGTATCGTTGCCCTTGTTCTCGGTAAAGAGCAGGCAGTGGCGGTTGGAAATGACGGGATCGTCGATGACGACGTCACACTCGGGATGGCGGCCTATCAGGTAACCGCCGGACGGCACTCCCTTGGTCTTGGTCTCCTCGAAGCTCTCCTCCTGCTCCAGGGGACGACCTTCCTTCTTCTGCTTGACCGTGTCGGAGCCGCTGACGGCCTCTGGCAGGGGGCAGGCAGCACGTTTTCGAAGGACCACGCATCTGCCAAACCTGGTGTCCAGGGGGAGCAGGTAGCCCCAAACGCCCTCTTTTACCTCGTCTTCCACCTCGTCGGATATGGCGGCGTTGGGGTCGACGAACTGGGAAGGGAAAGCTTGCGTGTCGTTGGGAGGGGACGAGAACTGGGAATCCAAGGTCTCGTCGGGCGTTCTGTGGGCTAGCTGGCTCGGTCTGCCGTTGGGGGGTGTGGTGGTGCCCTCCTTGTAGCGGGCGGTGCTGTCGTCGTCGGTGTAGTAGGTGACCGGCGAGGGCAGCTTCTGCTGGTTCTTGGTGACGGGGGTCTTGAGGTGTTCGCCGTTGCCGTGCGACAGCCTCTCGGATCGCCGGGGCTTCTTGGACGAGTCGGATTCGGGAAGGGAATCCTGTGCACAGCTGGTGTAAGTGATGTTTGGGCGGCAAGGCAGGCGGCAGGTGAAGAGCATACCCGAACCCTCTTCAATTGGCTCTTCTCGCGGGGGGCCATGGCCGGGCAGCTGCGTATCTTGCTCGACTGGTCCCGGGCTCCTGCCTGCGGTGGAATACGTGGTCAGGACAGAGATCGAGGCCTAGAAACAAAGTATTACGGTGGAGGGCGCGCGTTAATTTCCGAGGAGTCCCTGGGTAGCGGGGGAGACAAGAGGCAACAGGCAAAAGTGTATATGTACAGTTAGACAAAAAGCGGATGGGATGGGATGGGGGGTGCTGCAGCCTGGAATATGTATGGGACGGGTGTGTGTAGGTGGTGTAGTCTGACTGAGTCGGGATGACTGATGAGCTCGGGAGGGCCTCGAGCTCACTCGCTGGAAAGGTGAAAGGCCCACCAGAAACCCAGAAACCCAGAAACCCAGAAACCTGCCCCCCGTCCATGCCGGGTGCAGCCAGACGATTGGCCGCGCATGCGTCAGAGGGGCCGCAGAGGCTTGGGCTAGGGGGGAAATATACGTTGATAGGCACTGTAGCTAGGCGACTCTCTAGTTGCTTAGCCCCTACCTCGCGCACCCCAAGGAAGGTAGCCTGAGGCTGGCAGTGCAGTCCTCATTCAGTAAATTCCTGCGCCCTGCTAGTTTTCTTGCTTGCTTGTGTGCTTGCATGCGGATCGGAAAGCTGCATTTTGAGTATTGAGTGCACCTCGATCTGCCGGGACATCCATGCATGGCTCTTACCCAGTCTACAGAGAGACGGAGAGAGTGAGAGGGAGACCCCACGCACGCGTCGGTATGGCATGGCATGGCAGGGCACCGGACGATGACCCTTTCTAGATCCCCCGGAGGGTTACAAGACATGCAAACAAGATCCACGGCTCCAGCCAAGGTGCCGGATCAAATGATGGCTGGCACCCCGTCACGTCACGGCTGGCATTCCGTGCTATATGCGTGCGCTTCTGGAAAGCCAGGTGGTTTTGCAGGCCAGGCTCCAGAGACAAGTCCGATGACACCAGTCAAAACATTGTGAAGCTCACTCGCGCCAACAGCGTCCCATGAATCAATCGATCGCCTGGCCTCGAGCCCGGGTTGTCTGCCCCACAAAATCTGGGGCTGAACGGGGTCCATGAGGCCCCGGGCCTTGTCATCGGCAGCTCACCCCCCAGCTGATACTGGATGCCTGCAAGCCAGCCAGGTGACTTGCCCAAGTCTCATCCGATCAACTCATCACGAGCCGTCTGTGTCGGGTCGCAGCCTCTGGGCCATCCATTTCCATTACGAGCGAGCCCGGATCGGCTTTGCCATTTTTTTTTTTTTTTTTGGCTACATGATTGATTATTCCACAAGCCTATCCGAGTTATACATCAGTCTTGCGATAGGAGGGGGAAGTAGGAACCTTGGTTAGACACCACCCGGAGGAGACAATGCTGGGGAGGGGGGCGAAATGCCCTTCACAGGATGCTGTGGTCGGCATGGCGACTTGGGCAAGCTTTCCCTTTGCCGCGTGGACTTGTAGACCTCCCATGATGAGTAGGTCAACTCAAAAGAACGCCCATCTCGACCGAAGCGGCGCGTCTACTCTGATACGGTGTCTTCACTCGTCATCAGCCAGTTGCATGTGTCGGGTCGATAGCTTGATTCATTCGACTCGAGAAATCCTGATCCAAGTCCTATATCTTCGTCGAATCGTACACTAATTACGATTACTGCCGTATCCATGCACTCATATATACCTCTCATCATGTAGCCCTAGACGCCGCGCCCAAGAGATAATGCCACCCACATGCATATGCGCAATGCCGATAATCAACAGTCCAACCCACCATCAAAGTAGAACACAACATCAAGCCGAGGGGCCAACGAAGAAGACGGAACTGTACAAGAAGTCGCCGGCAGAGACACCGCATCTGCCCGCGAACAAAAAGGTATAATCGGCAGGCAGAAAGTCGCCAGCGTCGCTGAACACGACGGGCTAGGTATCATGGAGAACTGCAACCGCCGTTTCTATCGTTCGGAAGTCATCGAGTCACTGATGCTCGACTTTTGCCGGGGCACGCCCGACCTTCCGAAAGACGGCGAGTGCTCCAGTGGAGAAGAAGAAGAACAAGAAGCGTCCAGGGACGAGGGACCGGACGAGGTCGTCGACCGACGTCTCTATCGTTCGGGTATCGGCGACGTAGCCAGGTTGCCTCCTGCGCTGATTCGCTTCTGTATGCGGTCTCTATCCCGGCGCAGCCGCTCGCTTGGGCTGGGGCTGAGCGTAGTTGTCAGTGACGAACCTGGCGCATCGATGGCAGCGGTACGGCCCCTCTTCTGTTCAATGTACTGTTGGGCACTGTGGCTCAGCGGGAATGCGGGCATGCTTGCAGGCACTTCTGCGCCATTCTGGACCAGCATCTCGGCAACCGGAAAGGGCTTGGCTTTGTGGTCGTTGTCGGCGCGCCCACCAGGAGTGGGGGTAGGCGTAGGAGACGGCGACGGCGAGGCAGGGTCTGCAGCTGCCAGCGCGAGGAAGACGGCATGAGTACCACGAGACTTGTCCAGAGCATTCGGGTTGGCCTTCAAAGCCAAGGCGTATATGACTTGCTGGATCTCATTGCGCTTGATGGCAGCAAGCAGTGTCTCGTCTGCGCTGGGGTACCTCGAAAGTGTCGCAGAGATTGGCTCTACGAAGGCTCGGTCGACATATTTGGCAGTGATAAACTTGAGCCGTTGTTCACGGCTGGCTTGTGGGCTGGGCTTGACTCCAGGCTCCAGCCTTGCCTCCCAAACCATGTTGGAGACTCGGTTCCCGACAAGAAGGAGCAGCTCGATGATATCAGGCGTGAACGAGTTGATGTCAAGTGTGAGCGACCGAACCTTGCTGATATGTGTCCCTAGCGATCGATGTATACCACTGCATTCGATGCAAAGAATAATCGCCAGATTGATCGAGACCCATTCAACCTTGGCTCCGCCGCCACAGTCGGCGCACCAGAGATTGCCCTGGTCGTGATCCCGCAGCATTTGTAGGAGCTTATCTGGGCTTTCATCGAAAGCACTGCTCGCTGGCCGTTGCGGGGGAGCCGGCCGGGCCCCGACAGTTATACGCCGGCTTGGAATGCCGGATGAACCACCTTGAATTCCGTGCCCGTGGCCATGATTCAGGGAGGTACTCTTGCCTGTTAATACAGACCCGATGTCTCGCTTAAAGCTTGTCGAGTCGCTGACCGAAGATGACGTTGACGGTAGATCCTTGAGACCACGACCCTCTACAGCACTTTGCAGGGCATTGTTGATGGCGGTAATCCAGTTGCTCATATCTTCATCCGAGGTGGCTTGGTATACACGTTTGTAATGCGGAGTGATGACTTCAAAGCAGAATCTTCGCTCAGCGTTTCGCGCCTCGCGGACCGAAGCCAGACGCAGATCGATCGGATCCATGTGTAGATCCAATTTCTGTTTCCAGTTACTATACTCGGAGAGCTTGCCCTGGTCAAGGACCACCCAGAACCTGAAGACAGTTAGACTCTGCTCTGGTCAGACTAACGGGCCAGATCGGGGAACTTACTTGTGCCATCCTTGCTGTTTTGTCAGTGCTCTCGGGTCAACATGACTCCCTGGGCGGTTGAGGGCCCATAGCAATCCTTCTTTCCGATGGGCTGAGCTCTTCTCCTGGCTCGCAATCTGGGAGAGGTCTCGCTCTTCAAGATCCCGGATGCCTTTGAACTTGGCATGCTGTGAGGGGCTGCTCATAGTAGCTTGGCCTAAACTGCCTGGCGATCTGGATAGCTCAGATGTCGGTGTAATCACAGGCCCCGAGTTGCCTGTGTTTACGGCTTTGAGTTGGGACCCAGTACTATCGGCACGTCCCAGCTCAGAGTCGGAGGTGTATGGATTCCCGTTCGAGATTTGGGCAATGGCATTGCTCATGCTCGTTGTAGAAGTCACAGTCTCCGGTTCGTTATACTGAACATTGCTCTTCTCGAGCACGCGCCTCTTCTCCTCCCTCTCACGTCGCTGATACTGGAACTCTTTGTCGGCCTCCTGAACCTGGTTGGATAATGCCTCCAGTTGAGGCAGTAGACCATCAATCTTCTTGGCGGTTGTTAAGAATCCCCGTGCCTGCGCGTCGGCGTATTTTGTGAGATGTGACAGAACCTCTTGTTCCTTGCGGCCGCCGTGTAGATCCTGTACGAAGGAAGAATAGTCAAACCGTTTCAGTTCAAAGTTCCGCCGCTTGGTCTGGTACTTGTTGTCGCTATCGGCCAGTTTCTTGGTCTTGACGGAGTCCTGCCGCTGGCCCAGATACCTCGAGACATAAGCATAGTAGTCCTTGCTCTCCTCCTCAAAGTCCCGCTTCTTACTTTCGGCCTGCTTGATGTCATAGGTATACAGCTTACTAATGGGGTCAATGATGATCTTCTGCAAGTTGGTGGTGTTTTGTCTCTCGTATGCCAGAATCTCTCGAGCGATCTTGTCGAAGTAATGATCTAGTGCCGGTTGTACAGCGTTAGAGTTGGTGCTTGCCGCTTCACGTAAGGTTTCCATAAAGGCAACGAAAGCATCGTTCGCCTCGACCTGAGCAGTGTGGGCTTGGTCGGCCTTCTTGAGAACTCGCTTCATCTGCGTCCTCATATTGCCCGTCTTCTGTTCGAGGGCTTTGATGGTAGCACGGAAGACGGGCCCATCATCACTAACCGTCATGTCTTCGCCTGGCTTGGGACACGCAACATCAACCTTGATAGCCTGCTGTGAGAGATATGACTCGACAGGTGCAATTGGAGTGAGCTCATGCTGCAAAGCCAAGGGAGAGGCTGGTTCCTCCACTTCGCTAATCCTTGAGTCGACAGACTGGGCAGATGCGACCCGGATCTTGGGCGGTACTGCCAGCTGAAAAACGGGGGATGGCGAACTCGGATGGCTTGGCACACCGGAGGTATCTTGGGAGCCTGGTCAATGACATTCTGGAGTTCTCATCCTAGGGGGAGTGCTTACTGGCAACCCAAAATGAAAAGCTGGCCAGAGCGACCAGCTTGTGCGCCCTCTGGTCATACTCAACAAACTAGAAGACCGTCAGTCCAGTCCAGGCTTGGCCGGCTCACAGACACGCGTTCTGTACGTACACTGCAAGCATTCCTCCAGCCTCCGCCTCGGTCTTCTACAGGCTTTGGCGGTTTCCATCTCCACGACCACTCGAAGGTCACAGAGGGGCTCCCGCCAGTGGAATAGTCTCCGACCAACTCGACGTTTGCGTTCTTGTGTAGGTTGGGGTCCGCGTGGAATTCCCGGGTAACCAGATTTTCGACCTCTCTGGCGTTCGAGGCGTAGACGTAGGTTAGGCCATTTATGTGGGAGTCGGATGTAGCACCGGCGCCGTCTTGGCGAATAACGAATGTGAAGGTGAAGACGAGCTCGTCATCGCTGTTGAGCTTGAGCAAGAAGTTGGGGGCGAGCGATGAATCGGGATCCTGGAATAGCGCAGTCAGAGACACTGGATGATCTTGTGCGCAGATGAACCTTATAGCGAGACACGAACCTGAATAAACTCTACAGGACTCTGGTCGCCCGACACTCGCGTAGCCGTAACCCTGGTGGCGGGGAAGGCATTGGGGACGACAGTCACGGCACTGCGCCGGCGGGGGTTGGAGATAACGAGGGAGGAGATGGATACTGCGATTGAGGAAAACGGTCAGTCTTCGACATACACGCACGCAGTCGCGCTCATGGCGGCGGCATGCTCGCGGCAGGAAGGAAACACCCACGTCGATTCTGGTCCCTCAGGTAGACGGCAGCGCCTTCGTCGGGCCTGCTACCGACGATACCCATGATTGCAGGAGGCTGCTGGCCAGGCAGGCGGCCGTCAGGAGTCAGGTCTAGGTCGCCGTGGTGGGAGCGATCGTCTGCAGCGTCTTTGTTCGCGAGAGTCTTGGGAATGCGGTGCGGGAGTCTGTGACGTGCAACCGAACTTAACACATGGGATGCACGCCGTGGTCGTGGGGGGGTGTGGGATCTCTCCGACAGCCAATCTCACAACGGTGCTAGTATGTACCAGAGCTTGGAGGTTCGGCGTTGCAGTTGTCTTTGTAGCGGGGTCGTCGAATCGATCGAGTGGCGCCGTCCCCCCTACCCAAGCCTACTGTACCTAGCAAGCCTAGTGACTGGAGAAGGACCCTGGCCACCCCGAAGGACGCCGTCTGAACGTTGATTGAACCGGGACCTGGCCCTGCCTAATCGTACCGTAACCTGTAAGCTGGGGTTGGGGGAATCGAATCAAACTGGAGCAAAGGGCGACCAGGCCGCCAGGCAGTCCGTTTTGGCTATCAGTGGTTGTTCTTTTTCTATACCACCACCGTCTCCCTCACCGGCGCTTTGTCAACCGATGATATACCCCGTTTGAAGGCTCAAGAAAGGCATGCAGCTGATAAGGCTGGAACGAGTCAGATAGATGATGAATCTCTTGCAGGCCTGATGCTGTCATGCAGGCACACGCGCACGAGGCTGTGACATGTGGATTAGCTAGTGCATACGTATCCCAAGCTCTGATAAGGTCGTCTACATGTACGTACTCAAGGTAGGTAGGATGTAAGTAGCCAGGGAGCTCGTCGCGGGCAACGTTCTCTCTCATGGAACGCACGCCGAGAATGTGCACCACTTTACGTAAAAGTCGTAGTTAAATTCAACTCGTATCTGAACGATGCAGTGTAAAGTGTACGAGGCGATGGCTGGGAGAAGCCTTATTTCAACAGCAATATGAAGCTGGAGAGAGGTAGAGTCAGAGAAGATGGCGCAGGCGAGGACCTGCTGCACCCAATGCAAGTGACCACGACGAGTACCCACTTGACGACCCAAGGCAGGTGACTCCTTCCTTGGGCGGAAAGAGAAAAAAAAAAAAAACCATGACGGGCAATCTGTTTCGAGCAGACCGGATTCCATACTGCGGGAAAGCCCATTCCTGTTGGATGGCGGTTCGGCTAGGGGCCCAACATCTTCTCAACTGCGTACCTAGCAGATGCTAACTAGCAAAGCTGGGTCTGAATGAAGTACTACGCGCCAGCAGGTTTCTAGGTACCCCAAGTTTGGAGGCAGTATAGGCGTCAAGAAGGTGGCTCGCCCATATATAGCTACGTAGCAACTAAACAAGTCCACAAGGCCTTAAGCTAGGTATGCACTCAAGTAAGAATGGTGCAAGGAGCAATCCTGATGGACGATGTCGATAAGTTGTCAGTAATAGCACATCTGGTACACAGCTTTGCAGTTGTGGTTGCGCTTGCGAACCGCCAACGGGCCAACACAAACATGTTGTCCAACATTTTCAGAATTCGCCCGTTCAGAGAAGATGTAAAGTGTCAAATCGAGACTGCACAGGCACATCAGCTTTAGAATACCATTTACTGCTGTGCGGTAGTTATGTATCATAGCACCGTGGACATGGACGCCGTACCACTGGTGCTTGTACTCGGTTACACGATTCACCTTCGATCCTCGTGTTTGGGAGATTGGTCAGGCTCTGACGGTTCTGCGAGCGGAGCCATTGAATGTCACGCAAGTATGAACACTACGGTAGGGTGGGCAGGTTGATATTTGGACTGGCCATGGACCTCGGTCTCAGGCACTACTAGTGCCGAAACACAACTGTAGGTACGATGAAGTACGAAGCATGACCCAAGACAACGGGCGGGCTCGCGACAAAGTTCTCTCTGCTGTCAAGACGTATTCATGGATATATCCACGTCCAGTGTTCCGGCACCTGAAAAGCCCCACATCGGATTGCCATTCTATCCATAGGGCGCCTTGCCCAGTTCCCAGCGGGTTCCGTAACCAAACTAACGTGAGGTACGCGCCGCAGACGGTCTATACCTCCTGGCCGGCACTCGACTAGGCTTGCTCCTGAACTGGCAGTCAGTCCATCGCAGGGCTTCAGAAAATGTAGCACCTCGTGTGCCCGCCATGCTTGCCAGAGATCACTGGCAACGGCCTAAAGTTAGCAGACGACTTTTTGTTCATTTCACAGAGTTGGGCATGTCTAAGCCAGGTGCCACGTGAATCAACCACGGCCGTGTAAGATGAACTGACCCAGTCTAGGGATGCCCTAACGTTTAGACGGGGACAGGCTGGTTCAACAACCCAGGCGCCAAACCCAAAACTGCCCACCAGCCGCCCCTCATTATCCCCTTTTCGCGGTGTCCGGAGCTGCGTCAGGTCGCGGGATGACGTTGCTAGAGACGGCTCGCCGACCCTTTCAACACGATACCACAACTTCCTAGACCCCACCACTTGATCCAGCCGCCTTGTTGTCTATTTTTCTTCTAGCCTTTGCTGCGTCTTTTCAGCGAGCCCGTGCGAACATAACCTCCTCACACGCTCTGCCGGTCCCCAAATCTCTACCGAGACCCGAGCGCCCACGCCCAACGACGGACTACCATGAGACGCAGCGCATAGGGGGAAAGAGAGAAAGAGAGAGAGCTGCCGAGCCCCGTCACAAGCAGAGCAAAGGGACGCGACTCGGCCATACACACAGCACAGGCTGCCGGGCACCATGTCGACGGCCTCGCGGAAGTCGTTACAGAGCGCCGCCCCGATCCATCGCCGCCTCGATAGTCTGCAGAGGGGCGAACGCCGAAGCCGCGCCAACTCGGCCGCCCGCCAGCTCGTCGTGAGCCACGACGACGCTCTCTCGTACGCCCTTCGCGTGGCCTATCTGCATTACCTGCTGCAGCCGAGGCAGAAGCAGAAGAAATTCATCCCCGCGCCCAAGCCCCCACAGAGAGCTTACACCTCCGTCGCCACAGATCTCGTCAAGGAGTTCTTGCCTGGGACGCACGGCAGTGTGAAACTTCCCAATGGATTCCGCAAGTACTTGGAGAAGAGGCTGGAGGGTGTCATGAGGGGGACCGAGAGAGCACCTGGATACGGTGACGCCGACATCAAGAGGTCCTTCGCAGAGGCCTACAATGCTTTAGGCCAACCCGGCATGCAGCAGACCTTGGACAAGGATCGCAAGCTCGAGCCTCTCGTCCTTTCGTTCTTTGCGGCGGCGACAAAGTCCTGCAGACCGCGCGACCCTGTTCAGGCCAACGATGATCACTGGAAACTGCTGGTTGACCGGCATGTGGCAATGTTTGTTCGGCTTGTGGGCAACGTATTGAAGGACATGGGCAAGGATCGAGACAAGCCGGAGCTTATGAGTCGACTCAAAACGCTGGAGAATAAGCTGCTAACAAATGATCAAAACCTCTTCATCGACACGGGTCAGGCCGGAGGGAAGACAATAGAGGTTGATGTCCCGTTGAGCTACGACGTCAAAGACATGCCCCTGGTCCAAGTTGTCGCGAGGCTATTTGGAATGGGCAACTCGGATGCGCAAAACCACATCGATGGCCAGAAGCCGAACTGGAACGAAGAAGCGGCGTTGAAGGACCTCAAATCCTACCAGCATCGCCTAAACTCCAACATGAGCGGCACCTTGCGAAGCCAGGATTTCGACGTGGAGGAGGCGTATCAGGAGTGGAAGAGAGCCGAAGCACCTCATCTGTCTGCAATGATCAAAGAGGTGTTGAATGCGAAGCCACAGTTGGTTAGAATGTCAACGAGCATTATCGCGATGGAGAAGCCCCTCCCAGCCAGCCCAACTTCCGGGTATGGGGAGGACCAAGCCTATGCGGACCTCAGTCGGGCATTGTCCAGCCCAGATTCCGGCTACGGACTGGATCATACCCTCAGCTTGGGATCCATGTCACTGGACGACAACAGCAGCATCAGGAGTGTTGATGAGGCCCACTATACTTTTATACCCCCTGAGCCTCGGGAATTCTTCAAGACCATTGCAAAGTACGCCATGGATTTTGACTCGATGCATGACGATGGTACAGAGCGTTTAGGGCCATTTTCGAAGCAGAGCATGGAATTACTTACCGAATTATGTGTTCATTGGCGAATCCCGCAATTCACGCGTCTGGTTGTCTTTTTGGAGTTAGCTGCTGCAAAATACTCAGACAGCTTGTTTACCGCCATCGATCTCGACAACACCTTTGAGCTGGTCAAGATCCCAGGCCCCGAGACGAAGAAGCCGCCCCATATATATCTATGGAACGAAAGCCTGGCGACAATCGATAGGTCTAGATGGACGATGCATGACTTCGCAGTCTATCAACAAACGCTGAACTCCATCCACGAGGCCCTGCTCCGCGAACTATATGATACGTTCATGCACTGCTTCGAATCGAAACCTCCATCTGTGGGCCCAGTCTTGCACGTGCTGGATACACACGTGCATGCGGATTCTGCGTTTGCCAGGAACGCAGATGCGGAAGAGCACTACGCTAAAGCTCTTCACGATGGACTCAAAGAACAGGCCTCCAATGTGTATCGTGCATTCCTGGATAAAGAGATACCTGAAAGTCAAGAAGATTGGGATTTCAACCACGTCGTCCAGCTTGGCAAGTCTGTGGTTAAGCTGTGCGAAAGAATCAAGAAGCGATACAAATCGAAGCCGGAGATCATGGGGGTCAATCCTCTCACGATCTTGGTTGAGACCATGTTCCCGAACTTTGAGAACGATGCCTCCGAGCTGATCAGGTCCATTATCCTGAACGCTCAGGACCGCGGTCTGGAATTTGGCTCCGAGGACGGGTTTGCTCTCTACAAGGAACTAGTCGAGATTCGACATATTCACCGTTCCTCACTTCCCAACCAGCCATTTACGTTTGATATTGAGGAATTGCTCGTTGACTTCGTGTGGCGCTGGATCGCAAATGCGGAAGAGTTCAATGTGACCATTGTGGAAAACGCCATCAAACATGACCAATTTCAGGTTCGAGAAGGGCGAGAAGGCCACCCTCCTGCGGATGAAGATCGCCACAGCCATTCCATCATTGACGTCTTCAAAAGTTTTAACCAGACCGCAGACCAGATTTTCCAGCTGGAATGGGATAATGACGTTCACCATGCTCGTTTCATGACTGCCCTCTCAAAGATGTTCGCCAACGGAATCGCCAGGTACTGTGAAGTGGTTGACGGCAGATTCATGAAAGAGATGGACGCGCTCAGACCAGAAGAAGAGGAAGCAGCGGCCGTTGCCCAGACCGCACAAGGCAAAATCATGAGATACGCCAAGGATGCATGGAACACCAAGGAAAAACTTGCGCCTTTTCAGTTCTATTCAGAGGTAAGTCGATCTAGTGTGGCAGTAGGGCAAATACTGATACTTTTCAGTCACTGGTAAAACTCAACAACATTGAGTACGCCATGCAGCAACTGGACAAGCTCGAAAAGCTTATGAATGTCGATGCATGTGCTGCTGTCATTGAAAAAGCGGAAGGGCCTAGGAAACCCATGAAGCGACCCTCGACCTATGTGTTCACGATCAAGATCGTCGAAGCGGAAGACCTGAAGGCCTGTGACCCAAACGGCACAAGCGATCCATACGTTGTCCTGGGAGATGAGTACCAAAAACGTCTGGCGAAGACCAGGACAATCATGAGAAGCTTAAACCCCAAGTGGGACGAGTCTGTCGATATTACGGTCAGGGGACCTCTCAACGTCGTCGCCACGATCTGGGATTACGACATGTTCGGCGAGCACGACTTCGTAGGCAGGACATCTCTAAAGCTTGATCCATTGCATTTCAGCGACTATTTGCCCCGGGAGTTCTGGCTGGATTTGGACACACAAGGGCGGCTTCTGCTGCGTGTCAGCATGGAAGGTGAACGGGATGATATCCAGTTCTATTTTGGCAAGGCATTCCGGCACTTGAAAAGGACTGAACGCGATATGGTGCGAAAGATTACAGAGAAGGTATTTTTACCAATGTCAAGGCGTCATCTTCCGATCCCGCTAATTCTATTCGTAGCTTACTTCACATATCAGCGAGTCACTCTCTCACGAGGCGTTACGCAATCTCCTCGGTCGGAACATTCTGCAGTCTGCCCAGAGTTTGTGGAAGAGGCAATCGCGTGTTGCGACAGTCACCAATGCCGATATTGAAAACGCTCTCCAACCTCTTTTCGGCTATTTCAACGACAACTTTGCCATCATGAAGGAGACCCTGACCGACGCGACCATGGTGGCTGTCATGACCCGTTTGTGGAAAGAAGTTCTCATGGCTATCGAAACCCTCGTCGTACCGCCGCTCTCTGAGAAGCCTTCCAATCAAAAGCCTCTCACGGAGCGCGAAGTCGAGGTTGTGTACAAGTGGCTTGGGCTTCTCTTCGAATTCTTCAACGCACGGGATGAGAGTGGTGAAGTTTTGGGTGTGCCAGCCGAGGTTCTCAAGTCGCCTAAGTATCACGAGCTTGCCTCACTGAACTTCTTCTACTTTGAGACCACTGACCACCTCATCCATACCTCGGAGCGCATGGCTGCCGCCACCGCGCAGCGTGCTCAGCAGGCCATGCAGTCTCAGCTGTCGGCTCACCCGAACCGTCTCTCTGCTCCGGCAGCGTTCGGCGGAATGGCGAGCGCCGGCCCGTCCTTCGCTTCCATGGGCACGATCCGCCGCGGAAAGAGCATCATGATGAGCCGTAACCTAGGCACGATGCGCCGGGCCAAGGAGGAGAAGCGCAAGGAGGCCCAGGCTGACCCTAGCGACGATATGATCCTGAGAATCTTGCGCATGCGCCCCGAGGCGGCGCACTACCTCAAGGAACGGCACCGCCAAAAGGAGCGCCAGGCCGCCGCGGCAGCTGCTGCGATGATAGTGAAGCAGAGCGTCAGCCAGGGCTGGAACTCGGGAGGGGGCTTTGGAAGAGGTGGTGTCCCTAGGAGGTAAAGATGGGGTCGCAGCGCCAATCTGGTAGAACGGCCTCTCGGGCGAGAGTCTAAACTCAACGAGGCGGCCTTCTGTGACGGCGAGTCAATGGCGACAGGCAACAATGGCGCCGAGTGTGCATTTTGAATGAGGTAATTTGAATGATCCGAGTCTTTTTTCTCTCTTTCTTTTCTTGTCTTTCTGTTACTGCCGCGCAAGGAGTTCCCGGGCCCATGCATACTCTTCTGTTCTTTTCGTGCTTGCTACTCGATACCCTCACGAAACCAGCCTTTCGAGGTTTCCGCACGAGGTGGATGGAAGCGCCCCGGAGATTTGGGCAGATTTTTAGGTCTAGTTCTGTCCATATCAAATAAGAATACATCTAATAGTCTCACTCTGAGCCCTCTTTCGTTACGGGCGGAATAGTACTGGATCCGTACGTGTTAGCCATGGATATTACCATCTTGTGCACCACGGTCAGCATGCGCTGTATACTGTGAGCAATTTGTACATATATAATTATATTTGCACACGACTCTTATGCAGCAGAACAGTTGCCCTTGTTTGGAATCAAGGTTACGGACCATGACACATCTGTTCGGCCTTCTGCAACGGGTGCTTACATACCTGGGACCAGCGCTGCAAGTGCTTCGCACACGTGGTATTAGGGATTTATCAGGGGCTGACCCATTGGACATGTGTTCGGAAGAGGAATATCAGGGTACCTTCAATAAATCTGGATAGGTGCAGCTCCTCTCATTGAAGAACTGTATGTCTCCGTTTCCATCATGCACAAGAAATCGCACAGAGCAACGACAACCGTACTGCTACTATAACAAGCCCCCTACCCAACAAATAGTGCCCTGATCGGTGAACCTTCTTACTACTATTTGCAGGCTGGAATATCTTGGTACGGAAATTCAAGACAGATACAGCAATAACGCATGCTAACTCGTAAATTTACGACACCTTACCTTATATATGTATTACGTGGGCGTGCAGGCCCTCCGAGACGGCAGCCCGTTGACTATTGTGTGATCAAACGGGTCATTCATTGACCAAAGACCTAGCCGCGATATGGAAGATCAGAGAACTGCATTATAGTGCCGCACTTGGTTCTCTTGGAGGATGCAAAACTGGACCGTTATATGAGAATCACCTTGTGTTTAAGCATACTATCCGCATTTAAACCACGGATACGAGCAGGCTGCACTTAGAGATTTATCGAAAACTAACCAAAGGGCTGCTTGAGGCCAAAAAAAGGCTTACGACATATACTACCACAGGGCGAATCCAATCAGGACTGGTAAATAGCGTGCATTCATGGCTGATTTGATGGTACAGTGATAATATAAGTCATATTGGTTCGATGCTATCCGTAGTCGGTGAACCGTGTGACTAATCCTTATGTGATACCCCTTCAACGAGCCAATGCGCTGGACCAGACGGGGCGTGCGTGGAGGTTCCTACTGGCAGTTCGCAGTCCTGTGGCAGGTATCACAAGTAATGAGTTTCTAGTCAGGAATGCCGAAACCTTGCTACCTAGTCATGAGCGGCGCACGAATTAAATTACAAGCCGAGGGCGATTAATATGGATCAGAGGCTTGGTGGTGGGTAACACGCCAAATAGGAGACGTGCAGACATGCTGATCACATGAGGACATTGTCCATCGCCAGGCTATCATTGATCAGACGCACGCTACCCGGTTTGTCGACACTTCAGGCTGAAACGAGAGCGAGTGGTGATCATATGCGCAGGCCCAGGTTGACGGTGGGTATAGGTCTCTGATGGGTTCTCCTGGAAGAAGTACAATGAGGCTGGCCGACGGCCGTATTCGGACGGGAATTGCATGTGCTCGCGACCGCTTGGACATTTCGTGTGCTGTCTGCGCATCGAGTTCCGGGAAGCCCCCGTTTTCGGGGTCGGCCCACCCAGTTGCTGCGGTACGAGAAGCGGTGATGATACGATTTTCAAGGGCCTGTTTTTTTTTGTCAACGGTTTTTCCCCTCCAAAGGGAGCCAGCCCACTTTGACAGCCATGGAGGAAGATGTTAGCGCTACCGAAAGGTATTGGATCTCATGCACGTGTGTTCTTCCCGAGTCAAGACCACCAACCCGCTCACGCGTGAACGTATCAGGACCGGCAGATATCAAGGCAGCCAGGAAGATCTCAATGACCTCACTAGGCGGGCCGTTGGGGACCCTGAGATAGAGTTGCAATCGTAGATCTGGCCCTTGAATCTCATATCGTGGAGAGCATTGCTGTTTTCGGCGACTGAGCGACTTGCTCCTGGGATATACGAAACATAGCCCCGAGTTTCCTCGCGGGCTGATCTGCAAAAGCACAAATATCCCCCCTACGGTGGCTGCCAAAGGCTGCGATGTAAAGAAGACCTTAGGTCAGCATAGGGTTTTCCGTTCCTGAGGTCCCGAGCGGTGTTTAGTGCCCAGTCAGCCGGTCTAGTTGCAGCTGGAGGCCTGCGAGTGGGCTGATCCCCATCCGGCCGAATAGAGATGAAATGAGAATTTTTGAAATGAGACCATCTTTGTAGATCGAACTTCGCGATGGTCTTTAGTTTAGGGGTCCTCCCTATGCCCCGCTTGGCGCAGAAGAGTAGCGTGAACTTTTGACAAGACTCCCCTCGCTAGCCAGAAGTGCTACCTAGGTAGAAAGCATGATGCCGAATTACCAGTGAGTACAACCGCCCGTTGTACAGAAGCAATTTGGCGTTTCGTGCGTGCTGGTCTCTTGTCCCTTTCATTGCCTCTGGGACGGTATACTGGCTACCCCTGTCATGGGAGAAGCGGCTGCCAGGGGCACCCCTCGAAGTCTTCTCAACAACGAGAAACCACGTGCGAACCGGACAAACCAGCCAGCCAGCTAAACGACCATGGCCCCCATTTGCCCATGGCAATCATTGTGGTAAGCTAATCGACTGTGTGCAAGCCAAGACTTGAGGCAACGCACCAAATAAGTTGCATTTCGGTATGATCCAGCTGCGGAGCAAATGACGTCACACTGAACCCTGAGAAAGTGAGTCTGGGAGAGAGATACTCACAATTACAGCCAGGACCTTGGCCTGTCACCCTGTCCCCTGTACAATGAACTGAGACTTTCATCCAAGCCGTAGGACCTCAGGCGCCCACGATGCCCTCAACTCCTGGCTGAATGATCAGGGCAAGCACCTGTGCAGATCAGTCTTTTCCAGGTACTCACTCCAATGTGCGGCGACATGGGGTTCGCCACGGTCAAGTTTTGCTTTGTTTTTCCTGGGTGCCCAGTGTGAGATGTACGTCTCCGGGGTTGTCACACCTCCACGGGCGCAGCGCACTTCATACAGACCACGCACCAGAAAGAAATGGAACCGGTGGGCAAGCAAATGCTATACGCCTGAGGCTTTCTTTTCCAGTGGGTTGGAGAGAAAAGTCGCAGATTGAACCAGAAAATGAAGTAGAATTAAACGCAGAGCGTAAGGTCGTCATCGGCGTTCGCTTTGTACAGTTACGATTGGGACAGATAACCAAGATACATACCCATGGACGGTCTCTCTCTGCCTCTCTCAGGTCTCTTTCTACCAGCTATGTGCTGTACCGACCTACTGTACGTCGGCTTGGTTGGGCAGAGGAGCGGGCGGTGGTGAATGGTGAGTGATTGCAGATCGATGGATCCCAACGCGCATCAATACCTATTCGCGTAAGTGGCAGATGGGGGTCGATGGGGGCGTCTTGGCCGCGAGCTGGCGAATGGCAGGCGCAGCATTGCGACCCCTCCACCGTCCGGAGGGCATCGTCGCACGGAACGCGGCACCAGGCAGGCTTTGGATGGCGCTGGTCAGGCCGACTCGACAGGATGGACAATGGAACACGAGGAGAAGCGCAGGGGGCCACATTCAGTCAGCAGAGAAGCCGGCGAGTTGGGTGCGCTAGAGGGCGCCGAGGGACAAGCGATTGCTCGATGGATACGAATTGCTGTGGTCGCTCGGGCATGGTGTGTGCGCTGTCCGAGGCTATTACCTAGGAGGTAGCTGTGTGATTTTATTTCCGTGGTGGGCTGAGATGGGGAACCTAAGATACCGATCACTTTGGTCGATTGACTGTGAGGCGGCGAACGGTACGGATATCCAATGGAGCCTGGGAGCTGCTGCCAGTGGCACGTTAGGTCACTCTCATACTGGGGCGGCGACCGACCAGCCTACCAGCCTACCAACGGGCCAACCCAACCGAAGGCGGTAGGTACCCCTGCCTTGCAAGCCTGGTGCCCAGGGGGGTGAGGGAATGCGGCGTGTGATCCAGTACTTTTTCGATTCGACGGCACCCCGATTGAATTAGATAGCGATGGAGGTGACACTGGAGAGAAGCCCCCGGCCCCCTAGGGCTACCGCAACCTTGCGTGCGTGCCTTGCGGCATTGGGTTTGACAAGTCGAGGGGGGGAAGAGGCAAGCCGACCCATTCCTCTCAGTGTCGCGATAGAGTTCGAAGGCAGCCCAGCGCTGGGGTTCTGGACAGCCCGGCAGCACAGATAGAGGCCCAACTTGCCATCCATGGGGGTGCTGGTGCTCGACTGTGTCCAGCACCTCTGTAGGAAAACTTACCGGCGCAGAGGTTCGGTTGCGCAAGCGCAGCTCACGTCGCCGTCCACAGGGATGGACGACGATTGGCTTCCGAGGCGTGGAGCTTGTACATAGTACCGTGCTTGTTCGGGGGGGAGGGCAGCGACAAACCCCCCCTGACCCCTGTTGTTCACGAGCGTTAGTGCACTCTGGCCCGCCCGCAGTCCCATCCACTCTGCCACTCTGGTGTCTGGCGCCTGCATGGCCGCCCGCGGGCTGTCACTGGACCTCTCCCTCGACCGCCAGCAACCAGCGACCAGCGACAGGCGGCAGGCGACAGGCGACCTGCTGCTGGCCCGACGGCTGCCCCTGCGGTGCGGCCACGGCAAGGTATCCCAAGTGAGTGTCCTATCCCAAGTTCGGGGGCCCCCCTAATCCCAACCTGGGCGGCTTCTTGGCTTCCACCTCACACGCCTCCACACCTCCCTCCACTTGGTCTCTGCCACTTCCTTGTCGAGCCTCTGCCAGGAGATTTCTTTCTCTATCGCGTTCTGTTCCGAGTGCTCGTTTTCCTCCTCCAGTCAAGCATCACTTCTGTCCCGACGCTCGACCGCGGCATCCCATCTCAGCCTGCCTGCCGCCTCTGTTGTCCGTCCCGTCGCCTGCTTCAGCCTGCCTTGCCTCCCCCTCCCTTTGTTGCTGGGACGAGGCTGTATGCAACCAGCAGCACACTATCGGATGAATTGAAGTCGACGGCCCCAAACCTCCCTCTCGACCGCCCCCTTGTCTTCGAGGATGCAATCGAGCTCGTAAAATAATCTTGCCAGTATCAGCTTTCGCTGGCACAGTCCGTTCCTTACCAACGCCACCTTACTTAATTCCTGCGCCCGTCTTGGATTCGCAACCCCCCGTGCCCGCCGCCTCTTGTCATGAGAATCATGGCCGACGAATCGGCCTTGGCAGCGGCAGCTGCCATGGTCAAGTCCCTGGCTTCCGACTCCAAGCAAGCGACCTCCTACCCCGTGGGAGGCGATCAATCCTTTCGTCTTCCCGGGCCCGACTCTGCGGCGAAAGATGCGCTCGCCCGCGAGTTGTCCGCCCTGGCCGCTCGGGTGCAGCGCCTCGAGGCCAAGGCCTCCATCCAGAATGCACCCGTCTTCCCGGATACGCCCAGTGAGACGGTCGAGTCCATGTTTGGCGACGAGTCCTCGTCGCCCACCTCCAACAACGGCAAAACGTACATGCGGGCCAAGGTCCCAGCAATCCCCATACTCCGCAGCGGCGCTGGCCCCGACGGTGGTGCCGTCAAGGCCCTCGTTCCGTTGACCGACGAAGCACTGGAGGGGCTGCGGGAACACATTGACGACCAATCAAAACTCCTCGACAACCAACGTCAGGAGTTGACGAATGTCAACGCTCAGCTCGTCGAGCAGAAGAACCTGCAAGAAAAGGCCCTCAAGATCTTGGAAGAAGAACGCGTTGCAACTCTGGAGAGAGAGCTGTGGAAGCACCAAAAAGCAAACGAAGCCTTCCAGAAGGCGTTACGTGAGATTGGCGAGATTGTCACTGCGGTAGCTCATGGCGACCTGAGCAAGAGAGTACGCATGAACACGGTAGAGATGGACCCGGAAATCACCACTTTCAAGCGGACTATCAACACCATGATGGACCAGTTGCAGGTTTTCTCCAGCGAAGTCTCGCGTGTCGCTCGTGAGGTCGGCACTGACGGAATTCTGGGCGGCCAAGCTGTCATCGAAGGCGTCGATGGTACTTGGAAAGAGCTTACTGACAACGGCAAGTCTATGTGACAGAACCAAGGAGCGGACTCATCGCTAACACATTTTTAGTGAATGTCATGGCACAGAATCTGACAGATCAAGGTAAATAACCGCTTCCTAATGGTTTCCCATCTCGCTGACAAGAATTTCTCAGTCCGAGAGATCGCATCCGTCACCACTGCCGTGGCTCATGGCGATCTGACGCAGAAAATTGAGAGGCCAGCCAAGGGCGAGATACTCGAGCTTCAACAAACCATCAACACCATGGTTGTTCAACTGGGAACTTTTGCCGCGGAGGTTACTCGCGTAGCTCGTGATGTCGGAACCGAGGGTAAACTGGGCGGTCAGGCCGACGTGATGGGGGTTCAAGGAATGTGGAATGAGTTGACAGTGAATGTCAACGCCATGGCCGATAACCTCACTACGCAAGTCCGCGATATCGCCAAGGTCACTACAGCCGTCGCCCGGGGCGATCTCACGCAGAAGGTCCAAGCTGAATGCCGGGGCGAAATCTTTGAGCTCAAGTCAACTATCAACTCCATGGTTGGTCAACTACAGCAGTTCGCTGCTGAAGTAACCAAGATTGCCCGCGAGGTCGGCACTGAAGGACGTCTAGGCGGCCAAGCAACCGTCAATGACGTGCAAGGCACCTGGCGCGACCTGACCGACAATGTCAACGGCATGGCCATGAACCTGACCACTCAAGTACGAGAAATCTCCAAGGTCACTGCAGCTGTAGCCCGCGGCGACCTAAGCACCAAGATCACGGTTGAGGTTAAGGGTGAGATTCTGCAGCTCAAGCAAACCATCAACTCCATGGTAGACCGTCTAAGTACCTTCGCCTTCGAAGTTAGCAAGGTGGCCCGAGAAGTCGGAACAGATGGCACTCTCGGTGGCCAGGCCCGAGTGGACGACGTCGAAGGCAAATGGAAAGATCTTACCGAAAACGTCAACACCATGGCATCAAACCTTACCTCTCAAGTGCGAGGTATCTCCACAGTTACTCAGGCCATTGCTGACGGTAACATGAGCCGGAAGATTACGGTCCCGGCCAGAGGCGAGGTTGCGCTGCTCAAGGACACGATCAACAACATGGTTGACAGGCTTTCGGTTTTCTGTAACGAAGTGCAGCGTGTAGCCAAGGATGTCGGTGTTGACGGCAAGATGGGAGGCCAAGCCGATGTTGGAGGTCTCAAGGGCAGGTGGAAGGAGATTACAGCTGACGTCAACACCATGGCGACCAACTTGGTAGGCCCTACGTACCCCATAGGGAAGAGAATGTGCTTGGCTGACAGATTTCTAGACTACGCAGGTCCGAGCTTTCGGCGACATCACTAATGCTGCCACCGACGGAAATTTCACGAAGCTGGTCGACGTAGAGGCTTCTGGTGAAATGGATGAACTCAAACGCAAGATCAACCAGATGGTCTACAACTTGCGGGACAGTATTCAACGAAACACACAAGCGAGAGAGGCTGCCGAACAAGCCAACAAGACCAAGTCCGAGTTTCTGGCCAACATGTCACACGAAATCCGAACGCCAATGAACGGTATCATAGGAATGACTCAATTGACATTGGACACCGACTTGACACAATACCAAAGGGAGATGCTCAACATTGTAAACAACCTGGCCAACAGTTTATTAACCATCATCGACGACATTTTGGATTTGTCCAAGATCGAGGCTCGGAGGATGGTCATCGAGGAAATCCCGTACACTCTGCGAGGCACTGTCTTCAACGCCCTCAAGACCCTCGCTGTCAAGGCAAACGAGAAATTCCTGGATCTGACCTACTGCGTTGACAGTTCAGTCCCGGATTATGTTGTGGGCGACTCTTTCCGTCTACGACAGATCATCCTGAACCTTGTCGGAAACGCCATCAAGTTCACAGAGCATGGGTCAGTTCGGTTGACCATTCAGCAATCTTCAAAGTCCACTTCCAAGGATCCCAACGAGTACGCGCTCGAGTTTGTCGTCTCCGATACGGGTATAGGAATCCCGCAGGACAAGCTGGACCTCATCTTTGATACGTTCCAGCAAGCAGACGGCTCGATGACGCGGAAGTTTGGTGGTACTGGCCTTGGTCTCTCCATCTCCAAGAGGCTCGTCAGCCTGATGGGTGGAGATGTCTGGGTCCGCAGCGATGTTGGCAAAGGCAGTTCCTTTTATTTCACTTGCGTGGTCAAGTTGGCTGGTGGTGATCTGGCTCTCATTGAGAAGCAACTCAAGCCATACAAAGGTCATCAGGTCTTCTTCGTCGACAGAGGGCGAACTGTCTATGGCAAGCAAATTGTGCCCATGCTACGTGATCTCGGATTGGTACCCGTGGTGGCCACACAAGAGACGTATCCTGGCCTTGGCTCCGACGAACCGCCTTTCGACGTCATCATCGTGGATTCGATCGAGACTGCTCGCAAGCTCCGGGCTATCGACCAGTTCAAGTATTTGCCTATCGTCTTACTGGCACCGGCAGTCCATATCAGTCTGAAGTCATGTCTGGATCTTGGCATTACCTCGTACTTGACTACCCCCTGCGCCCCCATAGATTTGGGCAACGGAATGGTGCCAGCATTGGAGAACCGCGCGACTCCTTCTTTGGCGGACAACACGAAGTCTTTCGAGATCTTGTTGGCTGAAGACAACCGCGTCAATCAACGCTTGGCTGTCAAGATCCTTGAGAAGTACCACCACGTTGTCACAGTCGTCAGCAACGGGTTGGAGGCCGTCGAAGCTATTCAAAAGAAGAAGTTTGATGTTATTCTTATGGATGTTCAGATGCCCATAATGGTTCGTAACCCCAACTTTCGTGACATTTCCGTTTTGAGTAGAGAAGCTAACTTGACACAGGGTGGATTCGAGGCCACGAGCAAGATTCGTGAGTACGAACGCAGCCTGGGGACGCACAGGACGCCCATCATCGCGCTGACGGCGCACGCCATGATGGGCGATCGCGAGAGGTGTATTCAGGCACAGATGGACGAATATCTGTCCAAACCACTGCAGCAAAATCACCTCATCCAGACAATTCTCAAGTGTGCAACTCTTGGAGGCGCGCTGCTGGAGAAGAACCGAGAGAGAGAGATATCTCGGCAGAAGGATCAAGAAGGTCAGGACCACCAAAGTCGATCCAGTCCATTGCGCCCTGGCCTGGAATCTCGTGCATTGACGTCGACCGAGCGCCTGGTAGGAAGCGTGGATAGTCCGTCTCTCGTTGCAGGAGACCAGGAGGATCCCATGAAGACGGCACGTAGAAGCCTTTCCGACGACATCCTCAAGAAAGCCTCGTACTAACACAGTTGTTCAGCTCCTGACGAGAGCCCTTAGCAGCTAAGGCAGCATTGATCTTTTGTTGAGCGAGACAAGTGCGCGACATGCTCCAGAAGCATGCTTCTGGCTTCAGGATGCTCTACCATTTGCACTGCAAACATTTACTCAGCCTCTGAGGATATGATACCCTTCGTTCTCACCACTGTTATGAGCGACTCGGACGAGTGGATGGCGAGACTAGCCTACACGCCTTGCTGCTGCAGCGTCTCACCCGCTCGAGGGGTGGTGAAAGAAAGATTTCAGCCCATCTGGGCTATGCATTATTACGGGAAAGGAGCTGCCATACCAGCATGTGGAGCATGGACGGTCGAGGGGACCTTTGTGGCTTACATCCACCCGGCGTTGATATTGGGCGTTGCTTGCTTTCCGAATTTGATGGTTGATCATAGCCTGTCAGTCAGTGCGCGGTTTCGCTCGAGCTTCTGATTTTCATTCAAATGTCTTGTTTCTCTCTACGCGCGCTATGGGTACATCAATCGTTGGCGCTGTCATGCGTCGGGGCCTTTCCTCCGCAGTACTAGCTGTATATGTCCTTTTTGAGTTGGCACTTCCAGATGGAAGAGCGCCCGCGTAGGACTTAAACTTGGGGAATATTTTCTTTTTCTGGTGGGGGGGGGGGGGGGGGGGGGGGAGTTATGCATCCAAACCACCCTGGGTTACTGGCGGGTTTCTATACACATGCGATGAGGTCGGGCAGTAGCCGCCTCGTCTGACGAAAATGATAATTCCAATTTGTTATCCGCTCACAAACCTACTGCATTGGATCGTTCTATATCCTGGCGATGTGAATTGTCTACCAACTAGCCCTCGACAGTCTGATTCAGCCTTTATACGTAGGTACTCAATAAGCTGTGTCTGGCCCGGGTTGACCGGCGATTCTACCAAGACTTGGGTCACTCCTCCACATGAAAATGCTCTCATCTGATGCTGGACACCACGTCGGTACAATTTTGAGGGTATTTGTTTGCATTTTTAAATGTGGTCTAGAAGCTGTGATGAAAATAATGAAAAGCAAGTGCTCGTCTGCCTGAGGTACTCTTCGCGATAAGACAAGAACGAGTGGCAATAACGTAGGTTGCCCAGCTTTCAGATATTATAGTCTGTAAATCTCGAAGGCCCAAGGTCTCTCCGTTGTATACGTCCCTAGAAATGAAGCCAGGATGCTATACTCTATGCCCTCTTCTCATCTTGCTTTGCATTTGCGTCGTCCTTTTGGTGCTTGGGAGAGCTTGATGACCCGTCAATCTCCTCGAATTGAGCGAGCAAAGCATCAAGCCTGTCCTCAAGTTTCGAGAGGTTTGCTTCCATTGCAGAAGCAGCTTGCTCGCCCCTGGACAAGGTCAGCTGGGAATACGACAACTCCACGGCATCGTCTCTCCGACGAAGAGGAGCGGTAAAGGACAGAACAGAGAAATCACGACCAAAAAAAGCAAGACGAGGAGATGCGTATGACGGATATAGCAATTGGCCCCGCGGAACTGTTATTGCGTTTCACGTTTTGGCTCCCACCGCCTGACCCGTCCATAACGGTCAACTCGAGAAACGCGGGCCAGTTTCTGACCGCCATGTCCCTGGGAGGCAGGGTCCCGCGCTTAGCACAACGCAGTGATGAGGTATGGTCGGCGATGCGAATGTGCTGACTGGGTGAGAGGACCCAGGACACGCCATCACGGCCGGGTCTAGACCATCTGGCGAGGAGCCAAGGGTTTTGTGTGGCATATGGGAAAGGGGAGGCCGTATTCTAGATTCGCATCTCAGACAAGCCGATGTTGCCCTAGATTCCGCACCTGCCTGAGGCTAGGACTCGGACCAACTAACGAGAAAGCCGGTCCATGGAAGATGGGAAAGCCGAAGGCCCAAGACGCCAATTCAGGATGTCCATAGTGAAACCGTGGGTAGGCAGACAAGGTAGGCATTGGGAAAGGGGGGCGAAGTGTCAAACGCATGCTTACTTTGCTAGGTCCCGGAAGGCCTAGAACGGTCCATGTCAGTATTGGTTTTGCGGGGATAGGGAGAGGCAATGGAATGGATTTCGTCCTTGTCCAGCGGATGAACCGGCAGGGCGAAGGAGAGAAAACGGCCGTTCGAGACTCACCTGAGCCAGGTCGGCTTCTGACGACGCCCCTGCGGAGGGGGCACCGTTGGTGCTGCTAGCCACGGTCTTGTCTTGTTGCGACATGATGCTGGCGAATGGACGCTCGTCAGTGACGGCCGATTTGCAGCAGAGCTCCCTTTCCGACCCTTGCGGACGCCAGCAGGAGCCTGGGAATGTAGCGGGCTTTGAGGGGGGAGGTAGTGAGATCGTCGTGCGAGATGTCTTGGTGCACGTGCAGCCCAGTTCCAAGGACCATCAGTGGTATCGTAGAGTTACAACAAGGGCGACGTTGCTGCTGCGGACAAGGGTGTTCGCGGGCAGATAGGCAAGATCGCCGGCCCATCAGCCAAGGGGCGCCGGGCGGCTGTTTGTCGAAACCCTCGCCGCCTGCCAGCGTCTGTACTTTACCCAAGTTGGTATTGGATTGGCAGTTAAGAGGCCCCGCACCACGTGAAGAGCCCAGGACAACGGATGATCCTAAAGCTTCGATCCTTCCTGTCGTACTTATCAAACGATCGAGTATGTTAAAGTACTGCATGTAGGTACCTACCAAAGTACTCGCCATCGCCACACCCAGGCCCATGTTGCATGCCGCCGCTGGGAAGATGGGGCCTGCCCTCCTGCACGGGGACCATCAACCGGAGACCAAAATGCACTGATGAGCGGCCGGCCAGGGTCCAGACTTTTGTGCTGCTGGCGGGCGTAGGCTGGCCCTGGGAGTTCTGGGCTCTGGCCAGGGCGCCAGGTACCCACAACCCACTGGTCCTGGTTGCCGACCACCAAACGATCTGACCTAACCTTGCCATTGACCCTCGGCCTGCGCCTGCGCCGGCAGCTGCGGGCGCCTGACGCTACAGCTCGGAGTCGGCTCCGACGTCACTGCCAGCCAACGATCGAGACCAATGGACCTGTGAGGAGGCCGTCAGCCTTACCTAGGTACCGTCGGTGTCCTGGACGACGTCCAGGCAGGCTTGACGGTGCTGGGACCAGACGCCTGAAGAACCGCTAGACAAAAGCGGCCAGCCAGCCCTTCAAACACTAGAGCCCGGCCGGGACAGGAAGAACAGGTGACGGTGGAATCGTCGATGGGGATCGTGCAGCGCAGGAACCCGTTGGCCGTGGCCGTGGCAGTGGCAGCAGCAGCGTAGGCAGGCGGTAGCCTCACCGTTTTTGCGTCACACAGGCCGGTGACCGCGTCACAGTAGCGCAACCACGCCCATGCCTGTAGCGGGGTGCTATGCCTGAATCGAACAACGATATCGAATCATGCCAGCACTGGGTGACCGATGACAGAAGACGTCCTTCGGAATCTCGATGCAGCAGCCTGTGTCCTACCGGAATCACGATGAGGGGGTCGTCCGCCTTGGGCTCGACACATTTGCCAGTTGGATGCATGCATCCCGCGACCTGTTCCTGCCTGGCTTATACAGGCTGTCAGCCGCTCGCCAGCTTAGGCTCACTTCTTGCCCATTGTTTTCCCTGGGCCGCGCAAAGGGTCGAGAAACTCTCTCGATCTACACTCGCCATGTCGATCCATGGTGGCATGCGACAGCACTTCTCCTCCCTGTTCCATCCTCCGTTTAGGATGGCATGCCAAATGATTCCTCGTGCCCGCATAAATGCTCCCATCGCCTGGCTGGACTCGATTGAGCGACCATCTCCCGACAGCAGCAGGCTTGCTTCGAGATCAGATATTTGCAGGTTTTCCTCCTCCGGTTGTCATCCGGCCGTCCCCCGCGTCGGTCTATTGAATGCAAAAGGCTGGTGGTCAAGTGCACAAATACCCGACCTGTAGCCGTAGCCGTGAGAGCGACGTCAGCCAGAAGGCTCATGGTCTACCTGGTACGGCTTGGTGCATGGGCCAGAATGATGCAGCTCCAAGCGTGTGAAATCTTGTCTGCTGCGTCCTCATTCGCCGCCTTGCTCAGATCTCGATCCCACCACCCACTCACTACAATGCCTGGCCATTGAAGCAAGTAACAGTCTCACAACCTTTTTCCAATCCCCCCCCCTAGTGCACATGCTACGAGGAATGGCACGTTTTCTGCGTTGGCGTCCCCGCTGGCTGGGACTTGCTTGCGGGTGCTGCCCTGCAACCTGTTCCCGTTCCCATGTCGAGCCAAAGAGGTCCACCCAGGACTGCCTGCCAGGCAAAGCAGGCCCGCAGGCGATGAATAAGGTAGTCAGAGCTAGAACGCCGTTGCATCCTCTAGTGCAGAGCGCTGCTGATGGCCATGATACCATGCTCGCCATGCGACCCACGACCAAGCACCGATCAGCAACAAGGCGACGGTGGCCATGGCCCGAAAGGAGAGAGGTTGTCAGACAGCATCATGGGCCCATCATCCCAGCGGCCCAGGGCGGCCATGGACGTGGGAGGGTGCCCATTGCCCATCGCTGCCATCCCCGGGTCCAAGCTCGATTGTAGTGTCTCACTTGATTCGCGGGTCGAGATACCTACCATGGCTCGTTACTCGTTACTCGTCCCCCGTCCAACAGCGCGCGCGCGCAGTCTCCATCCCTGGTGCTGGTTCCCAAAGACCCAAACGCCGGCAAAGGCCGAGCTGCCGACCCGCTCTGTGTAAGTTTACCTAGGTAGGGAACTCAACTTATTCCTGTAAGCGTGCTAGCCCACCCGTGGCATGAGAGCGTGAAGGATACCCAGGCTTGCCAGGCTTGCTCGGTAGCCCGGGGGCCGCCCTCGTAGCAGCACGGCTACAGTGCTAGCGCCCCGCGGTCTCGTCACAGGTTCCGTTTGCCTGCTGAAGTCCGTTGTGACCCCGATCCTGCCGTCGCGGTCCAGTTGTTCTCGATCTCAGAAACGGCTATGGATCGTGCTGCAATCTATATGCCTGGGCTCAATGATGCCAATTCTCTGAATTCCCCATAAACATTGCCATCGATGCGCCGCAGCTGACAGACATTCCCATTTGGCCTGCAATTCAAGCCACGACCACTCAGCTCTCAAAAGTGCTTCCAAACCCTGTTGCCCGTTTCGACCACCTCGTCCGTGTATCTCGCGCTTCTCGACAAATGCACCCCTCCGTCGACTCGCGCCATTCCTAGCAACAGCAACAGGCCTACCCGACTTCCAAATCATACAGTCCCAGCCCATGCAGCCCGGCCTTCTCTCCGGCAGCAGGAACTGGTCAAGCGGTCGTCGCGACGCACTCAAACACGCTGCAAACCCCCGACTTGAACTGGTTATTAGACCGGCGTGACGGGTACTTACCAACCGCAGGAAAAAGCGAGCGAGAGAAGAGAGAGAGTGTGTGTGTGCGTGAGGGAGTGAGAGCAAGAGGGAGTAAGAGGATCGTTCATTGAGCACGAACCCGGCTCGGCGCCTACCCTTCTGCACAACCACGGATTATCGGAGCGAGACATTCAATCGGACGGTGTAGGACATCACATGCAGCGCCGCACACATCGAGGATAATCCAGCGCCCCCCGGCGGCCGAATCGGCCTTATGAATTCACTCGAGGAAATATTCCAGGAACTAGGTATCTCCCAATACCTAGGGGCCTTCGTGGATCAGGGCTTCGACACGTGGGAGACGATACTCGACATCACAGAATCGGACCTGTAAGAGAGAGATTGAGGCGCGGCAAACATGGGAACCAGAGCTGACTCGACATAGTGATGCACTCGGGGTCAAACTAGGGCATCGCAGGGTTAGTCCTCTTCACAATATCCGACACCATCCCTTCGTGACTAACTTTGCGTCAAGAAACTGCAACGCCGGATTGCCAACTATCGAGGTGTGGCACCCGCTGCCTCACTCGTATCGCCCGCGCGGACGAGCATTGAGGAGTCTTCTGCTGCAAACACCAATAAGCCCTTGCAACCCGAAGTCAAAGATGCTGGCAGTGTATCATCGACCAAGCGCAAGTACAGGCGGCACCCAAAGGTAAGCAACCCCCCCTCCGTGCACTGTTCCCATGATGTTTCGACTCCGTATGGATGTCTGTCGGGGGATTGCGCGCGGAAACATCGAGGTCGAGTTGAATTCTAATGTAATGTCCTCCAGCCCGACGAGAATGCTCCTGAACGGCCCCCCTCTGCATATGTCCTGTTTTCCAATAGTAAGTCACATGACGTCACGCAGATCTTATCCCTGCCGGCGGTGCTTCCACCACGCCCGAGGAATGAATGCCGAGAACGGATGGCTAACTGTGCCCTTTGCCAGAGATGCGAGAAGATCTCAAGGGTCAAAACTTGACATTCACTGAAATCGCCAAGCTGGTAGGAGAAAACTGGCAGAGCCTGGATCGCTCCGAAAAGGAGCCCTACGAGAGTCAGGCTCTGGACTTGAAGGAGCGTTACAACCGGGACATGAACGAGTACAAGCAGACTGTCCACTATAAGCGCTATTCCGAGTACTTGCAAGAGTTCCGCCGAAGACAGGCGCTCCACGGTTGGTCCCTGACTCTCTTCCATCAGGAAATTCAGGGTGTCTAGGTTTTCTAACCACTTGCAGATAAAGATGCGTCCAAAAAGGCCAGGCTGGATACCGACGGTCGCACCCGCGGTGGCGGTATTGGCAACCTTTCACTCGGCCCCAGTGCTGCAAACAGCAATACCGGTAGTGGTTCAGAGAGTCAGCCCGGCAGTGAGCCTCCACCGACTAGGCAGCAGAGGTTGGATTCCATCACCTCACAGCCAGAGTCTCACAAATCTCCCGTCGTGGCAACCCACGTCTTCCCGCGGCCGGCCGATGAGATGTGCTATTCTCCGATGTCGTCCACCCAAGACGAGCACGGCCCGTCGAGAGCTCGAGGCTTCTCAAGTCCGATTGGCAGGGATGTCTCAGAGCTGCCATCACTCAACCACCCGGTGATACGGGAAGGCCACCGTTCCGATAGTTCATCTGCCTATCTGCCTCCCATCGCCGGCGCAGGCGAACCCCGTGTCCTGGCTGCCCCGATCTCTCATTCCCCCGAAAATGGCATGCCGAGCATCGCCCCGGTACTGAATCATCGCAACACCTCGCGACATGGTTCGGGCTCATCCAGCTATTGGTCGCGTACGCCATCGCTACTCACAGAGCAGTCGTCCACAGGCAGCACGACATCCCTTGGCTCTGTTGGTCCACCTAGAACCCCGAGCGAGTCCTCTCTGCCCATTCACGCGCTTTTGTCGTCAAAGCCCGAGGCCCCGAGTCCAACAACGAACACCAAGCCATTACCGGATGGTATGACCGTGTCGCAACCTCCGCCCGCGATCCATCGCCCACAATCCAGTCGCCCCCCAGGTCATCAGGTTGCTCTGGACAGCAAACCCGTGTTTAGCGATGGTATGTCGGGATTCAATTTCATATCGACAACAGGACTAAAACAACCTCATTCAGGTCGGTATCCAACGATTACAACTACGCAACTACCACCCGTGGCACCTCTGACTACGTCACTGGGTGCCGCCCCAGCAGCAGGGTCCCCAGCCATGGGTCCTGCAGAACCCAGCTACGATGGGATGAGTGCACTGCTCCGCGCCAGCGACATCGTTGGCCGTCAAAGACAATAGAATCGTTCGTGTCAGGCATCACCGCCCGGCTCCACACCAAGGCAACAGGTACAACACGTCAAGACAGCGAGTACAGCATGCATCGGCCGATTGCATTAACTGCATTTCGAGATGGCCACTCCGATCAGCAAGGCTACTACCACCACTGAGCATACTATTGCATGGATTTGTAGCCATAAGCAAGCGTTACGATATGCCCACATTTCCAACCATGTCATATAATGTTTATACCCACGGATTGTTATCAAATTTTCAGATTTGACATCGAAGCTCATTGCACTCAGGCGTCTCGGTTTTATTTTGCGCTTCCTATTTGTATGGGAGGAAACCCCATTGGAGTTCAGGCGCCGGCGGTCCTCATTGAGGCATTCTGGCCGGGAGGAAAGTCCGGCGACTCCGGCGACTCCAACGTATCGTATCATTTTCGGTTTCAATTCAAGAGGGTTCTGGGGAGATGGGCGGCACGGGATTGAGGGGACCAAAGGTTTACGGCAGAGAGATAGTGTGAGAGGAGAAAAAAAAAGAAGAAACTAACTCACCAGATCGTCAACCCTCCTAGATAAGCGCCTCATGCGGCCAATGGCATATCAAAAAAGAAGTTACCGTTCTGACAGGCTTGCCCGTTCTCATGTAAATCTCCCGCACGTGCTTGATACCATTGTTCAACTGGCTGCCCGCCCTGTCCCTTGGCTCATTCTTGATGGATCATCATTGAAAATATACACGGCCGTGGCTTGAGACGGGTCACGGATCACTAATCGATATAGCTTCCTAAAGCAATTACCGTATATACACGCACCAGGAAACTTTGCGTCGTGTGAGCAAGCCTCATCCAGTCGGCTCTTTCCACGAAGCCTCCCTTTGAGACGGAGAAGCAAGCGGCTCCTGGAGAGCACACAGCGGCCCGAGTGGCCGGTCTGCGGCAGAGCGGACGAGCCCAGTCAGATGCGTATTGGTGCCAGCCCCTGATGGCCTGCCTCCTGCCAGGCACCGTGCGGCTGGACCCCTTGTTGCAAGAGTGCACCAACCGCGGCAAAGGGCGAGAACAAAAATAGAGGGCGTAGTCATTTCAAATTTACAATTCTTCGAGGCTGGATTATCGACAGAAGTTGCTTAGGTAGGTATTCCACGCGTACAGAGAAACCCGTGCAACAAATACACGCAGGGAATTGTTCAGAAAACCCGACAAAACAACAAGTTATATATGCCAACGCCTCCCTAACCGGGTTGGAAAAGGCCTTTCCTTATTTCGTATCCATTCGTGATAAAGAATCGCCTCCTTTGAGGGTGGTCTGTCTGACCCTTTCTCTTGCTTGCTCGCTCGCCATGCAATCATCAATCGACCAAGCAACTCCGCCGGCTTGTAATCGGAAACAGTAGGGGGAGGTGCTATTACCGACCTCTGCCAAAAACTCGCGGGGTGTCCAGCCATCACTCCTAGCCCTCCTCCATCGCCTCTGCTGACCAGTCTTTCCGAATGTTCAGCTCCATGAGCTCAGGCGTGTTCTCGATTATCAAACCCTTCTCGTTTGCCAAGTGTAGCAGACTGATGAAACAGTAGCTGGTGGAGATGTCATCCAGAACGGTTTTGGGGTAGACAACCTGCAGCTCATTCATGACGTCGGTGAACTTTAGCTCGGGGTCATCTGCCGATGGCTGCTTCATAGGGGATGACTCTGGCGGTGTAGGTAGTCTTGTCCGGTCGACGCTCTGCGGGTCATGTGTTAGTTGACTCAGTGCTTTTATAGAAAGGAGATGATATAGGAGGACTCACGTCAAGCTTCTCCATATCCATGCGCTTCCAGATCTCGTCCTTCAGCCGCCTAATGTCGACCTTCTTGGCTACTCTGGCGTACTGGACGTATTCCGGTCGTAACCTGCGGGTAGATGTCACAAGCTGAGTGCCGAAGCCGCCCATAGTAAGACCGCCATTCAGCATCGCCGTGAAGCCCACGTTCTCTGTCATAGGTGGCTCGGCACCTGGGGAAAAGTGATCCCTTGCGTCAGCGAACTCGAGGTCATCATCGTCATCCAGCAGGCCACCACCAGGTAGCGGCATCTCATCGTCGAAGAAGTTGGCGTCGTAGTCACCCTGGGGGAGAACCGTGTCATCCTGCTCCGTGCTCTGGAGTGGCTCCTTGTTGGCCCAGAAGGCCTCGTCCATCTCGCCTTCGGGTTCGTTGGCCTGATAACCAGCATTCCCGAACATGCCATTTCTACTAATCATGCGTCTCCGGCTGCTCAGGCGTGCCTTGGGCTTGAGGAAGAGGCTCAGCAACTGCTTCGAGTTGAAGTGCTTGTCGTCTGGGAGAAGATTCCTAGTCTTGGACTTCCAATCCTTCTTTGGCATGCATATGGCGGCGTTGCTGCTGGCATGAGTATAGATCTGCTCGCCTAGCTTGGTGTCTAAAGGCGAGGCGAAATCGATCTCGAAAGGCTCCTTCTCCTTGCGTGGGCGAGTGGCGGTATCCTGCTTGCTGGCATCCTTGATCTTCCGTATCCTCCAGTGTTCGGGCCCGGCCCAGTTCTTTTGCAGGGCCTGGTCGAAGTAGCCAAGGATGTCCTCATGCATCTTGTCGCTCTCCTTGCCAATATTCATGCGGACAACGTAGTCGCCGTTCTCGTCGTCGAACCCAGAGCCATCGCCGCCGACCATGTCGTCTTCATTACCCGCGTGATAAGGTCGCATCTGGGGGTCCAGAGCCGCCTCTTTCGCCCACGCCTCACCACCCTCACCAAAAGCGACATCGACTACATCGAACCCGCCCATGGCCGTCATGTCATCAAAACCCAGGGGGTTGTCTTCGTCAATGAACATGCCAGAATTGTCGCCAGTTGCCCGTTGCCCATCGGCGTCGTCGGGATCTTGGTCCTGTGTCCAGTCTTCTCCCGCACGCAGGAACGGAACGTCAAGGGAGCCCGAGGGGTCGCCCAAGTCGAAAGTCTTTAGCGAGGGGCAGATGTCCTGGCCGTCCAGTATGCTGAGGTCGGGGAAGAATTTGGCACCAAGGGCACCGATATCGACCTCGACCTCCTCCTCGGGCTCCTCTTCCTGCTCAAGGATGGTGGCATCTTTTTCGTCGACATCAACCATGTCCTCATCTTCCTCGAGGGCGTCTTCGCGGCGCCTGGGCTTGATGCCGTCTGCCGAGGCATCGTTCGCATCATCACTGCTGTCAAAGACGATGCGGCCCTGGCCGTCTATCATCAAGTGGTTGAGGAGCAGGCCTTTAGCGCCACCCTCATCGAAGTCGGCCGAGGCCTTCTTGAAAAGGGGGTCGACGGCAAATTCGAGTTCTAGTTTCTTCAGCTGCAACGAGGCAAAGGAAGGAGCCATGGTCGCTTCAGACGAGCGTTGCTGGAAACGGGGTTTGTCTGGTTAGCAGGAGGGCCTTTGGAGCTGGGTCAAGTGCATCAGGACGGGGCCGGACTCACTCGCTTCTGCTTCTTCCTCCTTACGACGTTGCCATCCTCGTCCACCTCCTCCTCGCTCTCGTCGCCGTCGCCTTCCCGGTCCTTCTTCTTGTTGTTGCTATCGGCAAGACCGCTGAGCAGCTTGCCGGTTTCGGTGGCGACGCTGTCGACTCGACTCGTGTAGATCTTTACACAGCCGTCCAAGGTGCAACTGGCCCTCTGGAAGTTGACTCCGTCGCCTTCCTTGAGGAGCGACATGTCGTGGAAGTAGTCGATCAGGGCAAAGTTCCACGAGTTGGTGGCGTTGATCTTGTTGTCCGTGGCCATCTTCATCCACTCCTCGAAGTTGGCCAGGATGGGGACGCGCTTCATAGGCGTGACGCTGCTCCCGCCGACGTAGAGGACGTCGTCGTCGTCGCCGGCTGGGGCGCCGGCAGCGCCAGCGCCGGCGGGCCCGCGGCGCGGGGTGCCCTGCTTGGAGCCGGGCGTCTGGTTCTCGGCATCGGAGAGGCGGAAGCTGGCCTTGCGCAAGGGGGTGGCGGCTGCGGCTCGGAGGTCGTTGATCTGTTTCTCATGCAGGGCCTGGCGCTGCTGCGAGCGGCCCTTCTTCTCGGAGACGTCGTCATTCAGGGGAATTCTGTTTGCGAGGGTGGTGGTTGTGAGCAGGTGTTGTTTCTGGTTGCCATGCGACCGCGACTTGGGACGAGGGCGGGCAACTTACTTGATGCCGGATGACTTGAAAGGGGAATCCCCCATGGAGCCGGAGGCGGTTCTGCTGCCAGCGCTGGCGCGCGGCATCTGGGCGACACGAGGCATGGATGCTGTCGTTGCGCGGGTGCGGGCGAGAGGTTGTTCATGAAGTGGTCTGGTCTGGGGATGGAGATGGAGATGGAGATGGTGTTGCTTGCCCGCCCGTCGCACGCGAAATGGACCAGGGGGGGCCTAAAACAAAAGTCCTTGGGCTCCGGCTCTCTGCTCTCGGTGTGTTGTGTGGTGGGCGAGTAAACAAATCACGGGCCCGATGCGGTCTAGCGCGAGACGTGCCGCCAGGGCGAACTGTATTGGAAGCTGGCTGTCCTGGCTGTCCTGGCTGTCATGGCTGCATGGATGGATGGTCTCCAGGTCTCCGTCAGAGGTG